TTCCGCATTTTTCGGTAACCAATTCCCTCGTGAATAAGTATAACTTCGAATCTTCGTAAAGCATAGGCCGCTTTAATCTCATGATTTAATTTGCACATAAATGTTTAAACTTGTTAATAATTATATAAAGACACATATAAAAGTCGACTGAAATGTGTAACAATATTTAGTTACATTTGTGAAATGAAAAAAAAGCAGTTTTCACAATATTTAGTTTATGAAATAATTTATATCTGTGAGATATCGTTTTTTACCATAATTTCCTTATTAGTATGTAAATATTATCGAGCTTTGTCTCTGTGACCTCTTTTTATTTAACGGACCAATGTAAACAACACTGTGTTGACTTTTGAAAGAAGTTTCGCCGATGTTATACATATACTTTATGGATAGCGTATATATTTGTTCGAATATCGAATCAATGATCGAGAACAATCGAGAATGCGCGCCAAAGTATGTGTACAAAGGGTCGCAAGTGCATAGTTAGAAATTTATGATGAGGAATTTGGCAAGTTAGTTATTGAACGAGAACGAATTATATAAATATATTAAAAGATGCCATTAATAAAGAAACCTATGCGTTATGCACATCCGGAGGGACACACGGATGTTTGTTATTTTACCGGTGAAAGGTGAGCAACGTTTGAAGCACATTGTTAATGATTATTGTATACGATGAATATAATCGGCAATAAACAATACAAATCGTGCTCCCTTTATTTACTGATTTTCTGTTTCGGAAAGAATATAATTTTCTAAGAAGTTTAACGTGTGCATAAAAATTTAAAAATAGTGTAACTGTATCTTACAATTTAGGAAAGGCCTTGTTACTTGTGGATCGGATGGAGATGTACGATCCTGGTTAAATTTAATGGATGATGATCCAGCTGCAAGTTGTGTTTCAGAACAAGCTATATCAGTAATATCCAAGGTACAGAAAGAAAATAAATAATGCCAGATGTAATATACACATCTATCGTATTCATTGATGTTTATGTATTTCATTTTCAAGAATGGTACTATTAGATTTTCATATGTAAATTGTTGTTCATAATTCTCTTCTTTTTGTTTTAGAATGGAAAAATATTTGTTGGTAATGATAATAACACAGTTCAAATACTCAGCTATCCTGATCTTGAGAAAGAAGGAATAGTTACTAGGTTTTCAGCACCTGTGTCTGCATTAGCAACCACAAAAGACAGTAATATTATAGTATCAGGATCATGGTATGTAATACATATGTACATTTTTTTAAATTTTTATTATACTATATTAACATTCAAGATTCATATTATATATTGTATATAATATAAATTATAGTGACATGAGAATACACGTTACGAATATTAGTACATCAAATAACACAGAGCTCTTTGGTCATGAAGCCCCAATATTAGGTTTATCATTGGACCCTAAAGAAGAGTTTGTGGTAAAGCTTTTTTTGACAATTAATATATTTTTTTATATAATAACAGTGGTTTATCGTTTAATGTAATTTTATTTTTAGGCATCATCAAGTGCAGATGGATCTATACGAGTATGGAATATTAAAGAGAAACGTGTTGCCAATATTTGGAATAATATTGTACCTAAATCTAATTCATTTTTTACGGCAAAAGTATATTGTATTCCTTCCTTTCAAACTAAGGATGGAAGTTGCCTTGCATATCCATACATGAAAGATGTAGTTGTAGTGGAAAGAACTTCTTGGAAAGAATTGTTTCATTTAAGATGTATTAATATAAAAAGTGTAAGTTATCCATTTAAATGTTACATTTAAGGAAGTCTGTGTAACATCTTTTAATGTTTATTGTCCTCAATATAGGAGATTAATATCTGTAAATTTTCTGAATGTGGTAAATTCATTGCTGTAAGCACTGTAAATGGTGAAATAATTGTTTGGAATGTAATAACAAGAGATTTGATTGGATATATTGAACATCAGCAAAATGCTAAAATTACCTCATTGGCTTGGAATCTTGATGAATCAGATGAAATTGCATTTTGTGATAATTTAGGCCAGTTAGGGTGCATTGATGTGGTACGTATATTTACATGTGTAACTTACAGCTTCAGACATCATTTTTATCCTTTTTGTTTATGCAGACGGTTCCTCAGAAGTCTAATGGCAATGAAGAAGCCACGGAAACGAATGGAGATATAAAAGAGGACGATATTTTACTGGACGAAGAAGACGACGATGGAGAAAATGTTATATCGTTAGATAAAATTAAAGCATCAGCGAATCTTGAAGACGATCAAAAAAGTCATTCTGATGTAGATTCTGTGAAACAACAAATAGAAGCAAATATTTTTACACCAGAATTTAATTTGCAACTACCATTTCAACCGAGTTCATCCCCGGCGCATTTATTATCTCGTTTTATGGTACCAAATATCCCTATACTAATTTTTCTGAAGATAATATTGAAAAATATGAGACTACACATATTACATATGATTATTTAACAGGTTTGGAACGATACTGGCATGGTAAGATGTTTTAGTGCTGAAGATGAGGATGAGTCTAGTATCGAAGTTGAATTTCATGATGTTACAATTCACCGCAGCATGCACATCAATAATTATTTAAAACATACAATAGCAGCTTTATCACCATATGCACTCGTATTGAATTGTCCATCAAGCAGCGACACACGAAGTAAACTTGTTGTAATAGCGTTACAGGGTTGGTATATTCTAAATATAAAAGAACATCTGTTATAGGCAAATGACTTTAATGAAGCAATATTACTACTCAACGACAGGTTGGGGTTCAGGGAATAAGGAATGGTTCTTGGATCTTCCTGAAGATGAAGAAGGACATTGTGTTGCCGCTGGTGATACCTTCGTAGCACTCGCAACATCAAAAAGGAATTTGAGACTTTTTACAGTAGGAGGCACGCAACGTGAAATTGTATCTTTACCGGGTCCGGTAGTTGCAATGAATGGGCTTAAAAATGCTCTAGTAATTGCGTATCATAATGGAATAGGTACACTATCTACTGTCCATTATTCATTTTCTTGTAGAAAAAATTGTTTAATGTAATAAAAATATGTAAATAGGTGCATCCGGTGATCAAAATATGAATTTACTATGGATTCAAATTCGTGGCTTAACTTTATACAGCCGAAAATTGTCTCTTCCACTCTCTCCCTCATCAGAGCTTATGTGGATAGGACTTTCCGACCTTGGATCTCCTGCTATCATGGATGCTGACGATGTCATTAGAGTTTACAACAAAAAATCATCTCTTTGGAAAGTTGCCAGCGACTTGAGTGGACAAGTAAGTAATATATACATCTATAGTATTCGTATCACATGTTATTATGTATTTAATTATTCTAATATGAACAGTCTAAGGGCAAAGCCGATCACTATTTCATCATTGGAATTAGCGAACAGCAAAGCATTGCTCGCTGTGTTTTATGCAAAGGAAGTCATTATCCACCGACAGCACCCCGCCCTGTAATAACAGAAATATCTTTAGATCCACCGGTATGCGAACCCGAAAGTGAAAAATCTGAGAAAGAATTGAAATTGTGGAAATTGGGTAGCAATGCTGCTGAAGAACACGAAATAGTGTTGGCTCTATTTGCGGTAAACATAAATTAAATATTTAAGCGTTTAAATGTGAACAGATATGTGCACTAATTAGTTCTATATGATTAGCTCGCCTGTAGGAGTAATTTGGAGTATCGAGCAGTGGAACTGTGTGAACAAATTGCTTCCGAGAAAGTCATAGAACTGGCAATTAAGTATGCGAGAAGAATGAATAGAATGGCTCTGTCGAATAAATTAGAGTCTATCGCCGACGTGAAGGAAGACGAGAAAGAAATGATGCAAGCGGAGGTAACTAAAGATAACGATATAGAGGAAACTAAAAGCGATGATGAAGTTAAAAATGATGAGATCGAAGAATCTACGATTTCGTTGACTAGCCAAAAAAAGCCGGATGTAGAAATTAAACCATTGTCTATAAGCGAATCTTTATCGATGAGACGAAGTAATCCGTTTTTGAAAAGTGGAAACTCGCTTGAGATCAAAGGTGTCGTATACATAATATTTTCATTACTTTTTCACGACATTCATGTAATGATATTTTAATTTGTAGGATTGGCTGGATTAGATACCGCTCCAGAAAAAGCACAAAAGCAGCCGACACCTGTTCCTTCAAAACCGAAAGTTAAGGACACCAAAGATGTTCCTAAAAAGGAAACATTTGTCAGTTGGTATGCCAAGAACAAGAAATACTTGCAGGAAGAATTTCCCGAATTAAGTACTACCGACTTAATGAAACAGGCATTGGCAAGGTACAAGGAGAAAGATGACACTCCACAACATAAAGGTACCACAGAATCCACAGAATCGAAGAAAAGGAAATTAAGTTCCGAAGATGAAGGAAATAAACCTAAACGAACTTCCAGTAAAGTACTCAGCTCATTCGCGTTTGGTTGATTGCTGCTTTGTGAAAAATAAATATACTTTTATATTTTTATTTTATGTAATTAGGATTATTTATTATTTTACATTACTTCGACCGCTTGTACAAATAAACAATATCGTTTTTTAACAGGGGTGTTTGCTCGTATTACTAACTTAACAGTACATTCTATTATAAGGAACACGTTGGAAACTTCTATGGCAAAAATGAATGGTAGTTAAAAGGATCGATAAAGTAGATATTCCTCAGAGTACTTTCCACTCTGCATATGATGTGTCACGATAGATCGATAAAACAGATGAAGAGAATGGTTTGAACTCATTTTAGTCCACTTAAGTCTCTTAACGCGAAAGTTGTAGAAAGTTCCGAATACTCAAGAACACTGTGTACATTGCGGCGACAATCACTGCGCAGATTGAAAGAAAGTCGCACTAGATTTACGTGATATAATGCTTGAAAGTGCGATAAAAGGTAAGCTGATATATTTGGCACAGTTTTAGATTATGCACGTATTAGCATTCGAAATCGGGACCAGTCTAAATATACATTCAAGTTTGCGGCACTAATCGCGCGTCTTCAATTGCGTCATCCTGATACGCATGCGAGAAACCAGTTTAAAATTTGTATTGTCACAGAGTTGAAAAAACAATGAAACTAATAATTACTTTGTATAAAAATATATTTATGTTAAGTCATAATTCTCCCATGGTTACTAAAAACATTACACTTTCACAATATTAAGAATATTATTAACAACTCAGGAGATCGCGTATTTTTTTGAAGACTGAATAAACATAAGCAATTATTCGCAAATACGATTTTTATAACAATAATATATTACATATTGAAAGCATTTATGTATATATTTTTTATTATTGTTTCGATAACAGCCGACGATGATTGCAAGAAAGCAGTTAATTCATTAATATTATTTAAATTCATCGGAATTCAATATAAATTTTATACTAATTAAAAATTATTTCAGAACATGCATTCGTGGACGTCATACAAAATGCAATGGGCGTGATGGGCCCATGGCATATTGTGATAGCAGTAGCACTTTCTCTTGTAAAATTTCCAGTTGCCTGGCATCAATTGTCCATAGTATTTCTTGCACCTCCAACTAATTTTTCATGTGCTGCACCAATATCAGCAACTAATGAATCTACAATAATGAAGTGCTACGTAGAAACTGGAAGTGGTACAATGGAAAAGTGTACAAGCTTTAAATATGACAAACGCATATTTAAAGAGAGCATTATAACTCAAGTGAGTTAAAATGTTGCTGTTTTATATTGTCTGAATTTTATAGGTCGACGAATTAAATTTTTTGTTTTCAGTGGGACTTAGTCTGCGATAGAGAACAACTAGCAAACTTTGTACAAACTTGCACAATGTTTGGGGTGCTCGTTGGTAACTTAGTCTTCAGTATAATGGCCGATCGGTAGGTTTTTTGCTATTATAAAACTGTACACGTGAATAGTGCATGAAAATTTGTTTCCAGAATCGGCAGAAAGAAACCGTTGATGATCGCACTAGGATTGCAATCGTTAACTGGGTTTATCAGTGCATTTGTTCCTTGGTATGAATTATTTTTAATATTCAAATTTATCTCTGCTGTAGCTACCGGCGGTACTATGCTCGTTAGCTTTGTTTTGCGTAAGTAAAGAATATACATTGCAGGAGTATTTGCCATTACCTTTCACATATTTTAAAATATAGTTTTGAATGAATTTACAGTCATGGAGATTGTAGGAGTTGAATGGCGCTCAATTATGTCGGTACTATTTCATGTGCCATTTTTGTTGGGTCATTTAATGAACCCTTTAATTTCATATTTAACGCACACATGGGACGGATTCCAAATGGCAGTTTCTATACCATCAATCTTCTTATTATCTTACTACTGGTATGCAGCATTGATTGTATTATCACTTGCTATAAAATCAGATTATCTTTAGCGGTTTTCATTCGACTTAGGATTATCCCTGAATCACCAAGATGGTTACTTGCTGTTGGTAAACTATCACAAGCAGAAGAAATCTTGGTTAAAGCAGCTAACAGAAATAAAATACCTACAGAAAATGTTAAAACAGCAATTGAAACATATGAAGCTAGTGCAAGAATTAATCACGAAAAGATTGAAGAGAAATATAATATTACACATTTGTTTAGAACTCCAAATTTAAGAACGAAGACAGTTTGTATATGTGTTAATTGGTTTGTTTGTGGTAGCTGTTTCTTTGGATTGGCACAGTACATGGGTTACCTTGATGGCAACATTTTTGTGAATGTTGCTGTGTCAGGTAAATTTCCTATTTAGAAAAAGTGAATTCCCATCAAGTCAGAAGAAATTATTAATTTAAGAAATATGCACTTTTTCTAGCTGCCATTGAATTGCCCGGAACTATGATAGTCCTTTTCTTGATATCACGTGTATCACGCTTAAAAATTTTGATAAGTGGCAATATTTTGTCAGGCATAAGCTTGATCTTAATTACTGTAATATCAAATTCTACTTTAACAGTATGTTTAGCTACTTTGGGACTTGCAGGAATGGCGATTAGTTTTCCGACCGTATACCTATATAGTAGCGAAGTGTTCCCTACGGTAATTAGGAACGTTGGCATCGGATTGGGAAGTGTTTGTGCAAGAACTGGAAGCATGATTGCACCATATATAGCTACTATGGTAATGTTTTCAGTGCGTTTTTAATATGTGTCATTTATCTGACTGATTATATTACTTATTCTTAGGGAAAAATCGAACCCTGGTTGCCACCTGTAATATTTGGCATTGGACCTTTACTTGGTGCTGCATTATGTTTCTTTTTACCAGAAACAATGAACTGCAAATTACCTGAAACTATAGAAGACGGTGAAAATTTTGGAAAGTGAGTACATGTAATAATGTAATGTAATCCCATGATTATTTTGTGATATCTGAATATAATGTAATCATTTGATTATTTTGAAGAAGCAGGTTTTATTATGTATTCTAGGAAAAAGAAGAGAGAAAATACATGAAAATGATATTGATGGAACCATGCATGTAATGGGTAATAAACTCTTAATTTATTAATTATTTATATATCAAAACTCGATTATTAGGCTCATCACATTTAAGAAGAACATAGCAGTATATTTGTATATAATATTATACTTTATAAAATATAAAGTAAGTTTTTACAATAAATTGTAAACCTATAATATATTTACTATATGTTGTTTCTTGAAATATTAGGTATTTACCTGTCTCTTATACACATCTCAGTGAACAAATATACATGTGTTAGTATAAAAAATCTACTAACTAATATCTGAATATTTTACATGAAACAAATTGAATTACTTTCATGCAAAATACTCTATACTTAAAATGTATATAAAAATAAATAACGACGAATCAGCCTTTGTCATGTAAATGAACATTCTCCCCCCTGTCTCTTATACACATCTCAGTGAACAAATATACATGTGTTAGTATAAAAAATCTACTAACTAATATCTGAATATTTTACATGAAACAAATTGAATTACTTTCATGCAAAATACTCTATACTTAAAATGTATATAAAAATAAATAACGACGAATCAGCCTTTGTCATGTAAATGAACATTCTCCCCCCTGTCTCTTATACACATCTCAGTGAACAAATATACATGTGTTAGTATAAAAAATCTACTAACTAATATCTGAATATTTTACATGAAACAAATTGAATTACTTTCATGCAAAATACTCTATACTTAAAATGTATATAAAAATAAATAACGACGAATCAGCCTTTGTCATGTAAATGAACATTCTCCCCCCTGTCTCTTATACACATCTCAGTGAACAAATATACATGTGTTAGTATAAAAAATCTACTAACTAATATCTGAATATTTTACATGAAACAAATTGAATTACTTTCATGCAAAATACTCTATACTTAAAATGTATATAAAAATAAATAACGACGAATCAGCCTTTGTCATGTAAATGAACATTCTCCCCCCTGTCTCTTATACACATCTCAGTGAACAAATATACATGTGTTAGTATAAAAAATCTACTAACTAATATCTGAATATTTTACATGAAACAAATTGAATTACTTTCATGCAAAATACTCTATACTTAAAATGTATATAAAAATAAATAACGACGAATCAGCCTTTGTCATGTAAATGAACATTCTCCCCCCTGTCTCTTATACACATCTCAGTGAACAAATATACATGTGTTAGTATAAAAAATCTACTAACTAATATCTGAATATTTTACATGAAACAAATTGAATTACTTTCATGCAAAATACTCTATACTTAAAATGTATATAAAAATAAATAACGACGAATCAGCCTTTGTCATGTAAATGAACATTCTCCCCCCTGTCTCTTATACACATCTCAGTGAACAAATATACATGTGTTAGTATAAAAAATCTACTAACTAATATCTGAATATTTTACATGAAACAAATTGAATTACTTTCATGCAAAATACTCTATACTTAAAATGTATATAAAAATAAATAACGACGAATCAGCCTTTGTCATGTAAATGAACATTCTCCCCCCTGTCTCTTATACACATCTCAGTGAACAAATATACATGTGTTAGTATAAAAAATCTACTAACTAATATCTGAATATTTTACATGAAACAAATTGAATTACTTTCATGCAAAATACTCTATACTTAAAATGTATATAAAAATAAATAACGACGAATCAGCCTTTGTCATGTAAATGAACATTCTCCCCCCTGTCTCTTATACACATCTCAGTGAACAAATATACATGTGTTAGTATAAAAAATCTACTAACTAATATCTGAATATTTTACATGAAACAAATTGAATTACTTTCATGCAAAATACTCTATACTTAAAATGTATATAAAAATAAATAACGACGAATCAGCCTTTGTCATGTAAATGAACATTCTCCCCCCTGTCTCTTATACACATCTCAGTGAACAAATATACATGTGTTAGTATAAAAAATCTACTAACTAATATCTGAATATTTTACATGAAACAAATTGAATTACTTTCATGCAAAATACTCTATACTTAAAATGTATATAAAAATAAATAACGACGAATCAGCCTTTGTCATGTAAATGAACATTCTCCCCCCTGTCTCTTATACACATCTCAGTGAACAAATATACATGTGTTAGTATAAAAAATCTACTAACTAATATCTGAATATTTTACATGAAACAAATTGAATTACTTTCATGCAAAATACTCTATACTTAAAATGTATATAAAAATAAATAACGACGAATCAGCCTTTGTCATGTAAATGAACATTCTCCCCCCTGTCTCTTATACACATCTCAGTGAACAAATATACATGTGTTAGTATAAAAAATCTACTAACTAATATCTGAATATTTTACATGAAACAAATTGAATTACTTTCATGCAAAATACTCTATACTTAAAATGTATATAAAAATAAATAACGACGAATCAGCCTTTGTCATGTAAATGAACATTCTCCCCCCTGTCTCTTATACACATCTAGATGTGTATAAGAGACAGGTATTAGTGAATATTATCAAGATTATATATTATATTTACTACCTTTGTAGTAAACGTTCGGTATTGTCACGTAAATGTTGCAAGCGACGAAGTTATTAATATATAGAAATAAAAGACCGAGTATCCTGAATTACTTTTTCTAAAATATCAGTTTGTAGTATGACTCATGTAAAATACTTTACTAGGTAAACCATTGACTACATCCGTAGTTTTTTTCTGTACAGTATCAATCATATGATTACCATACTTCATAGTATTACTTAAAGATCCCAACCACGAGGTCATGATACTTTTAGACGGCGTTTTTTCTACAGTATGTACTGTACCTAAAACATAAATTTGTCAATATTTGCTTAAAATTACACAATCGATTCATAGTATACAAATAACTTACCTATAAAAAACTTTAAGATTGCTTTGTTTACTACTTCTGGCTTTTGTTGGTGCGGAAAGTGTTGTGCTCCAAAAACAACCTTCACATTGAATTTTTCAACATATTCAGAACTTTGTAGAATGTTCTCTATTGATACAAGAGGATCTATGTTTCCAATGATATGCAACATCTTGGTTGAGATTGGCTCATTAGACTCTGTGTTGAGCCTAATGAAAGGAAGATTTCTGTAATAGTTAATTGCACCCGTCCAATCCTCTGTGAAAAGTAGTAACTGTCAGAATTTAAAGGATCAAACGATTATGATTTAATGTATTTACCTCTCCTACTAAATGCATATTTATACGCTTCTACATAATTTTTTTCAGTGCTTGTTTGCTTTACTTGAAGATGTTTGAATGTATCATTTATAATAGATAAATCTTCTTTAAGTGCATCAATTTCTGGAAGGAATGGCAATCTACTGAAATGTATCCATCTGCGAAATAATCAGATGGTTCATCAGAAATTAAATAGAATTGCTAAAATCAGTACAAGATTTCTTCACATGTTATTAAATGTACTTTGAGTCAAATACAGAATCTCCAGGCAATCTGTTCCAGTACAAATTAGGATGGGGACATGAAATTGCAATAAATTTGTAGATCATTTCCCCATATAAGGCTACCATGTACCATCCTAGTAGTCCACCCAAGTCATGTCCAATTATACTGCACTGCTTCACTCCAAGCGATAAAATAAATTGTTTTAGCTCTTCAACTAAAACTTCTAGTCTATAGGAACGTTTGGTTGATGGTTTATCACTGTCACCAAATCCTTTCAAGTCTATTGCTACTACCCTGAATAACAAAGTTGTTCCATTAAATATTAGGTAGTTCCACTTTAGGATAAACCATATAAATTAAAGACAAACAATGTATCATACCTAAAATGTTCGGCAAGGCAAGGTATTTGTTCTCTCCAAGACAACCAGCAATCAGGGAATCCATGCAGTAGCAAAATCAGTGGTTTATCTACATTTCCAGCTTCCACATAATGGAATTTTACACCCTAAATGGGGAATACGTGCGATATTTCATTTTCTTGTTGTCAATTATTGCTCGTTATGCGATGGCAACATAGATATTATTAAATTCTTTAACATTGTTATTTTCGGCTAACTGTTAATTGAACAATTTTTTTTTTAGTTATCACATAGCTCAAAAAATTTTTTTCTTCAAATGCAATAAACATGTTTGGGATAATCTTAGAGCCGAAAAAAAAGAACTCGATGCAACATCCCGGAGAAAAAAAAACATTATAATCATTTTTACCGATCGAAATCGGATGTGTGCATCGAGAAGTTACGTCGCGTCGTCGCGTCGCAAAGAGTTTATCAGAGGTCGAGTATTCTCAAGTATTCTTAGTATCTCTTTATGACTGTCAGATCGAAGTTATGCACTGTGATACATATTTTCCGGAATCAATGAAATAATCATTTTTATCTTACCTTGATTTTAATGTAAGAATGCGTTCCCAAGTTGTTGTCCACTAGACAGGGCGGAGGTTTATCCCGCTGTTGCATCATGAAGAACTTTTTCGGGTCCCAAGCCCATTTAAGGAACCGTCTCACTATTAGGTATAAACCGTACACAAATGATAAGAAATGTAATTTAGTGATTTCCCACGTCGATATCTGAACGATTTTGTCGTTTGTAATCATAGTTATTCATAAAGCGGAATGCAAAAATTGATTCCGCTTGTTTTTTTTACGATCGTTTCTCTTCGTATTTTTCACGGAAATATTTCTTCACGCTGAATCGGTACGATTTACGCGTTAACCGAAGTTCGACGGATTTGTAGAAAATCGAATGCTCGTATCCTTTTTCAGGCACGAATTTCTCGAAGCCCAAATAATAATCACAATAATAATAATCACAAATGTAACTAAAATACGATCGATCGCGTTAACGTGGATGATCGAAGGATACAGATCAATGTGATTTACGAGGTTAATCAAATATAGATCCTAAATCGTACGTTTTCGTTAAAACTGCCGCTGAATTACTGATTAAGACTTTCGTCGGAGTACAACACGATCGCCAGAGCTCATTATCAGCAGCGAGAAATCTTTTTATCGGGATTTATAAACAACGTCAAAATATATGTAACTTCCACGATGATGTCGCGATTAGGTACTGCTACTGAATACATTGTACGCCGAATTTCTATTTCTCAAAAGCGTTAGGACATCTACAGGGGATTTTGGGGGATAAGCGCCTCCCGGAATGATGAATCGTTTATAACGGGGCTTGGATCTGTACTTTGAGCTTGACATGTAACGTGTCAATGAATTATTGCAAGATACACGTGATGCGGTGCTGCAGACCGCCAGACTATGATACAACAATTCGATAAGTAAATTAAAATGAGTCGCTTATCCAATCTACTTAGTACCCAAAAAATTAGTCAACTAGTTTCTCTAATCTTAACACTAAACTTGTCGTACGCTCAAGATGTCTGACATGCGTTACTTTGTAAGAATTACAAGATTAAATTTATCTAGACATCTTACTATGTTTGTTAATGTGCGTTTGAATTAATTATTTATTATTTATTTAATTATTTATTCAATCATTTTCTACGAAAGACCTTATAATTTCGATACATTTGACACGAAAATATGACTTCCTTTCGCAATGTATTTTCGTATCTCTGCAGTTTTCTTTTGCAGATTACTTAAATGATCTCGTTAAATAGAACAAATAAGATATAGGAATAGATCTATGTAACTATCTAACATGTGATAACACAGTTTTGTGTTGTACGATTCAAAATATCAGCACAGTTAAAAATAAATGGTTCCCGCGGTAATATACTTTTACGGCCCGATTTTGTCAAATAAATTTTGAAGTATACTAATAATATATTATATTATATATAATAAATATTATAAGATTATATTATAAGAATAATATATATTATAAGAAGTAGTATAAATGTTGACAGAAATAATTCACATTTGAAAATCTGTATTTAGCGCAATTCCTTGTAGCGGCGAAACGCTCAAACTGAGAAACAAATGATAAATGTTATCAACAATCGATACTTCCTGTTGAGACTGAACCATAGACAAGTGTATCGTTTGAATGATCCTCACTACGAAGCTTAAATTTCTTAAATATCGGTAACAATGAGTGCGACAGGATAATGATAATGACACTTTTGAAAACTCATTTCTAAGTGAAAAAATAGTACATTAGATGTCAAATCTATGTACTCCTATACCTCGTCTCTGGTGTCATGAAACTGTTGGTAAAATCACCCTCCCGCATACCCACCCACCCTCTGCAATTTATATATTGTCCTCTACAGCTGATCGAAAGGAACCCACATAAACTGGTAGACTAAACACGCAAACATTCCGAGTTAGTGTAGTTATTTCGTCGTGCATACAGAATGTACGATCAGCACAGTAATCTAAGAAGAATCGATAATTAATGGAAAGTGAATGGAGCCGGACCGGTCGATAGTAGCTTTAATTTTTCTGTGATATCGAAAAAAATTGTCATGCTTCCAATATGTTATTTTCCGAGACGATATCTTATGATACTTCAACTTCACGTTCTTCTGTTGCTATTACTTTTCCCAGGTAAATGTTTAAACATGCTGTTTCCGAATGTATCTTCTCCTGCAGAAAACTGTTGTTTCTTCATTAGCTTGTATTAATAGTAACTTATCGTGCTCATATTTAATGAGGAATAAGTAAGTGTTATTGACACACACACAGAAGTGATTCGCATTGATTTTTCTGTGATCTTAGCCAAAGAGTGTACTATGCCGGAAGCAAGTCAAGAGGGCTTGCTACATTCATTCAAAAGTTACTCTGATATAGCAATGTTTCATTACACGGTTCCGAAGGAAGTGCACAGAGCTACGTGGCAGTTTGCTGCTTTCATGGATAGGCAAGATTGTCCAGAAAGAAAAGTACATATGTAAGTTACTTTCAATCTTATATTTTCTCTTCTGGTAGTACAATGTATTCTAATATGTTACTGTAATTTGTAGATATCTACAGTGGGGCAGTTATCCTGTGATATCTGTAAATAACGATACATTTCCTAGTGACATGTATCCCAAGCGTAATCAGACAATTGTAGTTTCTGCAGTCACAACATTTGAACCAAAAACTACTGCAATCGTTCCAGTCTATGGACCAGAGTCTGGAGACTGGTTTGTGGGAGCTTATTTGTCCCATTGGGACGAGAAGGTTCAACAACAGGTAAAATTGTATCCTATAGGATGATTTCATCTTAATGAACAGCATTGGTCATTGAGTCTTTTTTACATTAGGGGCTAGGACACAAATGCCATTATAGCATAGGTTCTGTAGCTATATGGACGCAGTCCAATAATATGGAAAATATTCCAATTGGTAGTCAAGTTACATTAAGAACAAGAGGAACTACTTCCTATTACAAGTAAAGAGTATACTTTACATTGTATTCCCTTCGCTATGATTTGCACGAAAAATCAATGTACCGAATATTCCCACAGAATATACATACCATCAGGAACATGGAATTTTCAAGTTCATGTCTGGGGTTGTAATTTTACTGTGTACAAGTACCTGTATCCGTCTCGTGACATACACGAACGTACTTGTATTCAAAGTATGGCCTTACAAGGGCGCTCATTACCCGTTTTTAACCACTCTGAACCCAGTGAAATCGGAAACTTGACTGTGTTAGATTCTTATACCTTTGTGGAGTCTTCTCCATACGAGGATAGCTACTATTATCTAATGATTATTTCAACTAGTATTATTAAAGTAAATATTGAAGTAATCACTTCAGGTAAAACTCACACACCGTAATATTTTTTGCATACAATCTCGGTTCCAATAAATCATTTTGTTTAATCATGTTTCAGAATGTCCAGTCAGAGTAACAGAGAAGTCTTTCGTAAGACAGTATTTAGATGCACCTTCGTTTTCTCAGGCATTAGTTCAATTACATATGAAAGATTTAACAAAACATCATATTCATCACGACGACGATAAAAATAATAATGGATCACTGTACAATGGAATTGATATTAGAAATCAGTTTCATGTGTCGGATGAAAGTTTTGATGATCCATGTGTTCCAAGATATCAACTTGCTAGGATTAAGCATTCACAAACATTTTCCGGTGTCTATTTATTACAGGTAATAATTATACTTAACATTCTTGATGCAATGAACTACGAAATATTGTTCTCTAATAAATATTTTTCAGGGTAAAGAATGGTTAACTTCCTGGGTAATGTTAACGGATAAGCATCCAGTAATAACGCAATTTAACATATTGCCATTGATAGACATCGGTGGTACACTCGATATTAGTGCACATTTAGAAATGGACAAAGTAAGCATAAATAAATTCAGGTTATAAATGGACGTTTAATCGAATTACAATTTCGTTTTACGCGTATTTTAGGTAGTAACCAGGCAGCTGGTTAAAGTTATACTTTGTATACGGCGCGGTCGAGTTCCAGGTAGATCTAGAGGTAATGTAATATGCAACGATTCAAGAATGTCGATGAATTTGTCGTCATTCGATAAACACGATTCAAGCCTGCTAATACCGTATCCACAGCCGGATACTTGGTATGTTGCTTTGCAAGCAACATGTTATTTCAACGGGTAAGATTGCGTTCTGTGAAAATAGAGAGAATTGTAACATTAATTTGATTACTTGCACAAATGATACCATAATTATCTGCATATCAGACATCCTGTAAATTGCGAAATGGAAGAAATTTTAGTATCGTTGGATATACGAACAAGGCAATGTGTATTTCCTGGAAATTATCCATGTGGTCATCATGGAATTTGTCAAGAAATCCACAGAGATATTCTTTATTACACAACATGCAAATGCTTCGAAGGTCCGATTAACATCCAGACAATAGAAGTTCTTCATTTCGTTTCAAATGTGTTAATTGTAAGTTTTACTTCATAGGGTACAAAGGATGGGGTTGTACAGATGCTACTAGTGCCAATCCAGAGTCTTCTCTTCTCATGACAACATTGATGCTCACTTTAAGTAATGGTTTTTTCATACCTGCTATATATTTAGCTGTTAAGCGCGGATTATATACAGAAGGATTAGTGTACATGGCAACTATGCTTTTTTCGTCTCTCTACCATGCTTGTGATCAACATGTAATGACATATTGCGTTGCTAAATATGAAGTACGTAAATAGCTGCATTTTATAATAATCACAATGATAACTATTTTTCAAGTTTTAACACAAATTGTCTCCATGAATTCATTTTATTTACAGGTTCTACAATACAGTGACTTTTTTTCGAGTATATTAGCATTTTGGGTGACGCTCGTTGCAATGGCTGAAATACCAACTCATTTTGTATCATTGTGCCATATGTTTGGAGTTCTTATAATAGCTTTCGGAGTGGAGTCTAATAAAACAAGCCTAACTAGTATATTGGTACCTTTGGGAATGGGTGTTATGATTCCAGTAAGTAATTCGATTTATCCTTTTCGAATATTTTCATTTTTGCACTTGTATATTTCTAGATGGGAGCGTATGTTTACCGCTGTTATCAATTGAAGAAATGGAAGAAACCTGACAGAATTTCGAAACTATTGGCAGGATTGTTATTAGCAACAGTAGGTCTGTTGCTCTTCTCTTTAGTTGAAACAGAAGCTAATTATCAAGTATGTGAAATATTATATATATGCAGTCACTGTGAAAAGTGGAATGTATTGTGACACTTTTGTATAAAAAATTGTTTCAGTATGTCCATAGCGCGTGGCATATGATAATAGCAATTTCACTAATATTTCTATTACCGCCATCGCCAATGGAACCAGCTAGTTCTTCAGGTACAAGCTCATTCAGCGACGACAGCGAATTACTTGATTACAAAGATGCGCATGGCAGTCCGATTTTTACGGTAACCACTGGCCAGGAAAGCTTGGTAATCGCGTTAAATTGAGGATTGTGTTAAAGATAAGTAGGACAAAAAAACCAAATACGTACCATTGTTTAAGTTATTTGTGCCAAAAGAGTGTTCTAATTCTCTAAGCAAGAAAGGTAGGTTACGGTATTATGATAATCAAAACTAGAAGATGTGTGTACACGTGCACATACCATCTACGCATGGTGTCCCATTTTAATATTTGCCTGAAATTATTTTCTAAATTATTGAAAAAGCGTTTCAAGTAAAACTTACATATTTCTAGGGGTGCCTTTAAGTGGTGTACGCGAGGCTTGTCTAGATTGAGACATCTCTGAAATTATAAGGTGACCACTAATTTTTTAAATGGAACTATATAAAATTTGCATTTACTATAAGATGCCTCTATCCTTCAGAATAAAGGATAAGTTATATTTGAAATGTTTTCATCGGAAGATAATTGAGTAGGCAGATCAAAATGGGACACTCTGTATGTATTGGGGGTATCCATAAGTAATGTAATTTTCTTTTAGATGGAATAAACGTTATTGCTCGCGGATTTGATCTAGTATTATGTAACATATATGCTAATTTCATTTACTGACATTTAGTGTGTTTATTGCAAATTTTTGAAGAAATTTGGGCGTACCATCATAATGTGTTGGCAGAAACCAATTTTTTTTCACAAAATTTTTACTACACATGAAGAGTGGATTCTATTCAATAAATCATATAAGAAGAAACGATGGTTTACACCAGGATAGCTGGTCTTCAACGGTGCAAAACCGACATTACTTATGGGAAACCCTAATAGATCAAATATGCATTTATGTATAATTTATATAGTAGTTCCTAAGTCAATGCAAATATGTGGTTATAGGGTAATCTATGTGGAGATTTTCAACTCAATACAACGCGACAAACGTGTAAAGATATATTGTGTACATATAGTCATAAACATTACATCAACTTGCTATGGTGCTAATACTCTTACTCTGTTGTGTTTAGACTACTGTGTATACTCAGCAATACTAACAGATATATTTTTATATACTTCTTATTGTTGAAAACTATATTTTATTACATTCGATATGTTGTCAGGAAGTGAATGACGTTTGTTTTTCCTCAAGAGTCGTATCACGTCGTGATAACAATTAATTATGTTTATTATTGACGCTAATGTTCACGGGCCTTCTTTTTAGGCGCTTTTTAACAGAATATTCACTGAATAAATGTGCGTTAATATATTTAAAATATACGAACATAGAAGCATTCGCATGTCTTTCCATATATTTTTGTGGTACTTAATTTACAACAAACTATACTATTTATCTTAGTTCAAAAAGCGTTGTAATGGACGGTACCTGTTTGTACATGAACATACTCAGTGCTTTATTATGCATTCGTAAACAACTTAATTATATAGAACGGGTTGTTTAAGATTGAAAGCTGAAATGTTCTTGAAACTACCTATGTTTTTGTTTTAAATTCGATGTGATATATGCATATTTTCACCTCAGTCCTCCTTTTGTTGACAAATTACACGTTAGAACGTTTATTACTAGAAATTTCAGCTTCTAGTCTAAGGTGCCTCATCCTGTTATACTTCTTTGAATATTTCGTATACTTTGTAGTATTGACAAATGTTTTAGTTCATAGATTACCCTATACAACCATGAACTCATCCAAAACTTATTATTACTTGTATTTTACATCTTACTTCTTTTTTACCATATCATATAACACATCTCACGTGGATGTTCTGTGTAATTACTATAACTTTGGGAAGTAAGCACCCGGTAATATTTATTTAAATATAGTAGGGGGGTCAAGTAATGCATGCGATATTGTTATGTGTACTTTACGAGTCGTGTTCAGTGTTGCGTGAGGGACCACAGTAAGTAAAAGGTACTACTAGCATGTTAGGAAATGAAAGTATGAATGCTGTGCCTAAAAACAGATAAATTATTCATGCATAGTATTCAAATATCAGAAGTCTAATGACCTAACATTTTGCAATCTAATCATTTTCGTCGTGTAACCGATCACGAAAATATTGCAAGAAAATCTACACAGATTTATACTTTTACTGTAATTGTGTACTGATTTCTTCATTGCTTTTATATAGAACTATAGAGTTTATACATCTATAGTTGAATATGTTTTTATTGTTAATAAGTAATTTAGATATATCGTAAGATTTATAGAGATATTAATTTAATGTTAACATTCCCAAAGTTAATCAGTTTTAATACAGAAGATACACAGACGTTCACTGTGAATTAATTTGAAAATTCGATTTTCGTAGAAGTATGTGATATATATATCGCAATATTTTAATAATAAGATGTTTCATTTCGCAATCGTAATCTGATAGATTATAATTTATAAATATTATTATTGTTGACGATTCAAATTATTGCAATGATTTATAATGAGATCAATTTTATATAACAAGTTACTAAAGTATAGTATCTATTTTATTTACTATTCAAATACCTCACAATGTTTAAAGTGCCATCTAAGATTTCTCTCTCATCCTATGCCAATCATATTACAAATTTTATTTTTACACTATTGAAGGAAAGGCAGGATGATCGAAAAAGAAGAAATTCATATAATACAAATGCTGTCTCTTATACACATCTAGATGTGTATAAGAGACAGGATTTATAATGAGATCAATTTTATATAACAAGTTACTAAAGTATAGTATCTATTTTATTTACTATTCAAATACCTCACAATGTTTAAAGTGCCATCTAAGATTTCTCTCTCATCCTATGCCAATCATATTACAAATTTTATTTTTACACTATTGAAGGAAAGGCAGGATGATCGAAAAAGAAGAAATTCATATAATACAAATGCTGTCTCTTATACACATCTAGATGTGTATAAGAGACAGGATTTATAATGAGATCAATTTTATATAACAAGTTACTAAAGTATAGTATCTATTTTATTTACTATTCAAATACCTCACAATGTTTAAAGTGCCATCTAAGATTTCTCTCTCATCCTATGCCAATCATATTACAAATTTTATTTTTACACTATTGAAGGAAAGGCAGGATGATCGAAAAAGAAGAAATTCATATAATACAAATGCTGTCTCTTATACACATCTAGATGTGTATAAGAGACAGGATTTATAATGAGATCAATTTTATATAACAAGTTACTAAAGTATAGTATCTATTTTATTTACTATTCAAATACCTCACAATGTTTAAAGTGCCATCTAAGATTTCTCTCTCATCCTATGCCAATCATATTACAAATTTTATTTTTACACTATTGAAGGAAAGGCAGGATGATCGAAAAAGAAGAAATTCATATAATACAAATGCTGTCTCTTATACACATCTAGATGTGTATAAGAGACAGGATTTATAATGAGATCAATTTTATATAACAAGTTACTAAAGTATAGTATCTATTTTATTTACTATTCAAATACCTCACAATGTTTAAAGTGCCATCTAAGATTTCTCTCTCATCCTATGCCAATCATATTACAAATTTTATTTTTACACTATTGAAGGAAAGGCAGGATGATCGAAAAAGAAGAAATTCATATAATACAAATGCTGTCTCTTATACACATCTAGATGTGTATAAGAGACAGGATTTATAATGAGATCAATTTTATATAACAAGTTACTAAAGTATAGTATCTATTTTATTTACTATTCAAATACCTCACAATGTTTAAAGTGCCATCTAAGATTTCTCTCTCATCCTATGCCAATCATATTACAAATTTTATTTTTACACTATTGAAGGAAAGGCAGGATGATCGAAAAAGAAGAAATTCATATAATACAAATGCTGTCTCTTATACACATCTAGATGTGTATAAGAGACAGGATTTATAATGAGATCAATTTTATATAACAAGTTACTAAAGTATAGTATCTATTTTATTTACTATTCAAATACCTCACAATGTTTAAAGTGCCATCTAAGATTTCTCTCTCATCCTATGCCAATCATATTACAAATTTTATTTTTACACTATTGAAGGAAAGGCAGGATGATCGAAAAAGAAGAAATTCATATAATACAAATGCTGTCTCTTATACACATCTAGATGTGTATAAGAGACAGGATTTATAATGAGATCAATTTTATATAACAAGTTACTAAAGTATAGTATCTATTTTATTTACTATTCAAATACCTCACAATGTTTAAAGTGCCATCTAAGATTTCTCTCTCATCCTATGCCAATCATATTACAAATTTTATTTTTACACTATTGAAGGAAAGGCAGGATGATCGAAAAAGAAGAAATTCATATAATACAAATGTTTAAAAGATTTATGTATGCTACATCAATTAAGATTTTAAACACGAAAAAAAAAGAAGAGAATGCGTAGAGCGATGCGAGTATTAATACCGGAGAGTATAATAACGACACATAATTGTATTATATAAGACAGTCAGAAATTCGAAAAATGTAAAAATCATATAAATTTTCATACTACAGAAAATATTAAAGAATCAATGGGTAAAATTATGCGTGACATTGAATAAACTAGTGCAAACTCTCAACGATCTATTTACAAATTCCTTTATATCGAACGCAAAACCCGACATAACAAAGATGTTATGAACATACATATAGTACCTCGTCCAAATCTACATATAGCAATATAATTTTTTTTTCTTATTAATGTAACGAGAAGAATTCATTACACGGAGTGCATGTATTAATTTCGGATCATTCTTTCTATCTCATAAAGTTACTTGTTCTTCTTGATGATTACTCGAACACAACTTACCAGTCCTCATTACTGTGTTCCATGTGTACTGTAAGTGTTAAACATCTTTCTTCTCTCGTCAATTACATTTAATACATGTTTATATTGTTGCAATGTGCACCTGAAAGAAAATGCATGATACGTCCTGTCTAGCGATACGAATATAGACAAATTATAATTAAAAAAAAAAAGATGTTTAGCATAAACACATCAAATATTTAAGAAAGAAGATTTAACATTTCAATAAATGTGATTAAATAATTTATATCATATGTCGCTCACTTCTCGATAGCACAATCCCCTATCCAATCCATTGCATTCTTCATTACAGTACATTGGCTTTCCAAATACGACGAGACGCACAACATATTCGCGCCAATGTCAGTCTTTTCTGCCGATTCTTCCCATTCCTTTGTTACGTTTATCACATAAGTGTGACAATATTCTATTTCGTTGCTAAAGATTTTCCACACCTGAAGATTGTTTTAATAGTATTAATGATTATTTGTTTATTCGTTAAATATGCGCACATAGTTCACGATACCTGCAACCATTTGTTTTGCAATAGTTCTCTGAAAGTTTCTCTCTCCTGAAATTTCTGTAACGCATAAATCGCCTCGATGCCTTCGTCCACATTCTTCACGTTTTTAAATATCTCGTTGATTAAATTTATCACCATGTTCTCCAGTTGACGGACTACGCATCTGAACTGTTCGATCTTTTTCAACCAACCGGACCTCCTACTGTCGAATATAACGTCACAATCCGCCCTAATTTCGTTCAAACTTTCGTAAAATAAATTTTCTATTTCCTGCCAGTACGCTTCGTACTCGATTCCTCTTGGGCCTCCGAGCAATCCTATTCTGTTGTGTCTGTTTAAAAAAATGCAAAGTATTTTTTTATTGCAAATTTGCAAAATAATGCGTTCATACATTTTTTTATTTATTCACCGATTAATTTGTACGCGTACCTTCCAAATATCGCTAACGAATCGCAGATTTCAATCACGCAGTAACATCTCTGTTTGAAAGTGTCAATTTTGTTGAAAACCTTCTCTTCGCTGATGTTCCATTTCTTATCGGGATTAATATGCGTGACCACGTTCGTCATCAGCTGAAAAATATGCGCCACTCGAAGTATTACCCGTTGTAATGCAAATTACAATAATTTGCAAATTGCAATAATTTTAAGCGGGGAAAACGTACATTGTCATAAATTGTTTCGTAAATATTACAACAATATATACATTTCTCCAACATTTTCTTCCCCTCTCCCGGATCACTTCCGAAAACAGCATCTATCTTAACGTAATCTTTGCACTGGAATATTATCTGCGAACTGAACGCTTGACAAAGTGTTTCTATATTGTCCCTGAAACGTTCACGATACATTCGGAATTCTCTTTGCTTCGTATTTTCATTTTATCGATACCGACGTGTTGTTATAAAACGGCGCCTCCGTCCAAATAAACAATATCAAAAGCAACACTTCCGTTATAGCGTTCTCAGCATCGTCGGGAATCTTTAAATTTTTACAAAAATCAAGCACGATATTCAAGTACTTCAAATTCGAAGTCACCTGCTCCAGACCCCTCTCGATACGCTTGGATAAATTTTCGAATTTGTTTACGCTGAGTGAACGACAATTTCGGAGTATATTACCGATCAATCGAACTTCCGGGTTCTGTAGCTGAACGCGCAAATAATTCAAGTTTGAATCTGGAAGATTTCATGATAAATTAATAATATTTATTTAAGTATAATTTATGTAATTTATATATTATTACATATTAATACATTATATATATATATTTATTTATTTATATATTATTATATAAATTATATATTATAGATTTATATATTTCAGAACTCATATATATATAGATTTCATGATAAATTAATAATTATATTATTACATAAATTATATTTAAATAAATATTATTAATTTATCATGTAATCTATATATATATATATATATATATATATATATATATATATATAAATATAAGTTCTCAAATAAATAAATCTATATAATATAAAATATTATATATAATAATATATAAATATATAAATCTATATATAAGTTCTGATCACGTCAATTCGATCGTCCCTTAGCATGCAATAATTCGGTGAATACTAACGCTTCGATTTCCAGTAATCGATTTCGTCCTGCATACATTCAATTCTTTCTCTATTCGACGATGTCACCGTAGTTTTATGTATTTGGACGATCCAGGAGCAAACTATCTTCTCCAATCTGTCGACAATCTTACGTTTTTTCTCGTCTTCCTCCGGAAGAATCGTTGTTCGATCTTCTCCCAGTAGAAAGCAATCGATTCTGCTGGTCGGCTCTAGAAACGTTCTCAGATTTTCCTTCGGCACGTACAACGTNAATATAAGTTCTCAAATAAATAAATCTATATAATATAAAATATTATATATAATAATATATAAATATATAAATCTATATATAAGTTCTGATCACGTCAATTCGATCGTCCCTTAGCATGCAATAATTCGGTGAATACTAACGCTTCGATTTCCAGTAATCGATTTCGTCCTGCATACATTCAATTCTTTCTCTATTCGACGATGTCACCGTAGTTTTATGTATTTGGACGATCCAGGAGCAAACTATCTTCTCCAATCTGTCGACAATCTTACGTTTTTTCTCGTCTTCCTCCGGAAGAATCGTTGTTCGATCTTCTCCCAGTAGAAAGCAATCGATTCTGCTGGTCGGCTCTAGAAACGTTCTCAGATTTTCCTTCGGCACGTACAACGTGGTCAAACCCTTCGCCTTGTAAATCTCCTCGGTCAAACGAATACCGAGCTCGTGGAAATTCGAGAACACTTCATCTTTCACGACTGTTCATTATCAAATGGAAAATTGTAGTTGCGGCACGCTGATTTCGCGGCAATAAAGCGAACATAAATAATAAAAAGAAAAATACATATTCTCGAGCGGATACACGACGTATAGTCGTCGGTGTGAAGCAGAATCGGCGCGTAAACGTTCTCCATGAATTTGCAGACGGAGTTCATGACATTCCCGGAAACGCTTCCGAGTGTTACGGTTTCGAAAAAATTGTCCACCGTGCACATTTGCCACGGCGACCTTAAGAAATACATGAACCCTTTCGGCGCCACTTCCGGAAAATTCAAAACGGCGGTCAGCCTGTCTCCGTCACGGAATATCGACAGCAATACGTTCGACGGGTTTTCGAAGTATTCTCGTATCGTTCGGTCACAATTCTCGTCCCAATTATCATCGTCGGAATCGGAGAATATCGACAGATGTTTCACGTGTTTCACCTGTAAATAAATGAAATTGTCACCTTGCTGGTTGTTCGTTAAAGTACGGTTTAAAAATGGCGCCGCAAATGGCGCAATCGTATCTTAGGAAACAGATGTTGAAACGGTACGTATAACGTTGGATTCGTCGTGTAGCAGCAAAAGTTTTTCACCGATATTTTCGACACTATTAAATCATCGAGGCTAAAATTTTACGTCACGACTCCTCTCCTCTTCTTGTACGCCTCCTCCAAACGACATACTGATCGACGGCGTTGTCCCTTTCAGAAACTTATCTTCGAAGTATTTATCGTGAAAATACTTCGTCAGAGCCGTTTCCGCTTATTATATGTATGCAAAGATCGTGCTGTACCAATTGATATCACGTTTATACGTGAACATATTTTACAATATATTTCATGCTTCATTTTCATCAACGATACTTGTTATTTCGGCAAATTGTGTGATTGGCGGCTATCAAAGTATATAATGCGTCACTGCGGTAATTAAAAAAATTAACAACGTGTCTGTACTGACTAATCTTAACAAGTCTTCCTCGGCAAATACTGGCTTTTCTGGTTCTGGAGGCAGCTCTTCTTCAAGTTCGGGTGACTCTGTATTATATAGCAAGGTATTTTTGTTATTCTTACGTTATTGAACATTTAGATATATTACATTTGCGATACATTAATTATAAATTGAAATCGTTAGAGTTTTCAAATCTGCGTTTACCGCGGGCATTTAAATAGCTAAACTATAGATAATAATATAACTACATAATATAATATAATATTATATTATATAACTATATTATATATATTATTATATAATATAACTATATAATATTATATTATATTATATTATATAACTATATTATATATATTATTATATAATATAACTATATAATATTATATTATATTATATTATATAACTATATTATTATTATATATATAAACTATTCGTTCATTTGAACATACGGCGGATGTAATGTGATTCTGTTAATCGATTAATTGAAACGATCTCAACTTGCTAATTCTTCGATCTACGTGTATTCGTCAATCTCGATAAGTTACAGTAAATACGATACAAATATAATAACAATAATAATAATAATAATAATAATAATAATAATAATAATAAATATAATAACTATTACCTTGCCTTCCAAAGTCTTCCTCATCGGTATCCATATCTAAAAACTCTCTATGCGTATCTATCATTTTATCTGACTTTCTCGCACTATCAGATTTTTGGTCTTTTTTAGAACTCATGGCTTCAATTGTAATCGTAACCGGGAAACACTTCGGAAGGTCACTTATTGTGGACGTGCTTTCGCATGCAGCTGGCAGACTTTGATTTTAAATCGTGTGTTAAATCGATAGAATCTTCGTTACCATACCTTATCGTGTTTCTTGGTGTCCGATGACCAACCCCGTTATCAAGGCTGTCTTTTAATATCTACAGTAAATCGATTGTTTTCGAGTCAATTGTTTACATTCCAAGGGTTCGTTCCCGCGCTTATCGACAGGATAGCCATCCGAGAGCTTTCTCTTTCTCTTTTTCTCTTCTTAGTCAATATCAGTATATATACTAGGAGACGAACTCAAGACGAGGCATTCCTAAATAAAAAATTTAAGGAGCACAAAAAGTCGAGATCTGAAGTACAATCTACGCGCCGTTGTTGTGGTCCCGAAACTGTTGTCGCGAAATAGATCACTAGTATAATATAAAACAATTCATCCAATATCCAACGTTGGTAAGAATACTTTAATTTTTAGAAATCACGCAAATATATAATATTATAATAATAAATAAAATAATAATATAATAAATAAAATAAATATAATATTATAATATAATAATAAATTTATGTATAACGTCGCGATCGAAAACAATCGCAGCGATCGCGTAATAATTGTTAATGTAGCGAGCAGAATTTTAAACGCTGATGTTAACAATTTGTCACCATCTGAAATTTCTAGCATCAAGACGATTTTTGACAATGCAGTCGATGTCCGAAGAACATATATTTGTCGGTTCGTTTGCTCATACCAACGAAGCTGGCGAATTGATTACCGTCGATCATGGTGCTATATATGTGAAGAATGGAGTGGTATCTATCAATTAATTATTTTTAAATACAATGGGCACGATAAATGAAACTTTAAGCCTGATATAGATATTTCTTCATTCTCTTTTATTTGTAATGTAACACGTGAAGTATAATTTGTTTTTTAACTTTCAGATTTGCAATATAGTGGTGAATCCAAAATCGATTGATACCAAAAATGAGAATGTAACTGTTCTCTCTAAAAGTCAATTTTTAGTACCTGGATTTATTGATTGTCACACTCATGCAGTGCAACTTCCTAATCTAGGAATTGGATATGATAAACAGCTTTTGGATTGGTTGGATACTTATACATTCCCTTTAGAAAGAAAATACAAAGATGAAATCTTTTCTGATAAAGTATTTGACGCAGTTGTAGTAAGTTTAATTCTAATATTATTAAAAACATGGGCGAACGCATTTTTTGTATACGTTTTAAATTAAACGTGACCGAAATTGAAATTACAGAAACACACTATTTCGCAAGGCACAACAACAGCATGTTATTTTGCATCTCTTTATGCAAATGCATCTTTAATTCTTGGTAGAAAAGTAGCTACTATAGGACAACGAGCTCTGATTGGTAAAATTAGTATGAATGACAAACGTGATGATGGGTACTATGAAACTACCAAAGAATCTATAGCTAATCAAAATAAATTCATAGATGATATTAATGGATTGAATGTATGCTATAAATACTATTTAACCATACATGTTATGATCACATTCTCGGAGGGAATATATTTTCGGGCGGCTGTCTTTACATAACATTTTATTACGAATTTTTCTTATAGAGTCCGCTTGTAAAACCAATTATAACGCCAAGATTTGCTTTAAGTTGTGACATGACACTCTTGAAAGAATTGGGAAAATTGGCTAAAGAAAAAAATCTTCACATACAGGTATTATACAGAATGCGCCATATAACTTAAATGTCTAAAATATTTCGCAAAGACGTTTTTATAAGCAAATAAATAATTATCAACTTTTATTTTCTATGTACCATTCATTCTAACACGCATAAAATATTTTAGAGTCATTTATCGGAAAATATAGACGAAATTATTGCTGTTGGAAATAAGTTCCCCGAATGTTCTTCATATGCGGATGTCTATGATGTAGCTGGCCTTCTTACAAATAAGGTATGTTAATTTAATTTATACGTGGAAATATTAACAAATAATGATATAATTTATGCATACAGACTGTGATGGCTCATGGAGTGCACCTCACAGATAATGAAATTGCATTATTGAAACAACGCGATACTGCTGTTATCCATTGTGCTTCTTCAAACACATGTTTGAGGAGTGGCCTTTGTGATGTACAGAAACTGAAGAAGAACGGAATAAAAATTGGTCTTGGCACTGGTACAAGAAAAGAGTTTATTTAATCTTTTTATAACTTCTTAGAGATAACTTACCATTAACTCTAATTATGTTTTCACAGACGTTTCAGGTGGATCAAGTTGTAGCATGTTAGACGCAATGAGATCGGCTTTGCAAGTGTCAACCCATCTGTCTTTTGTTAAAACCGATTATAAAGCACTTAATTTCAAAGACGTATTTTATTTAGCAACTTTAGGTGGTGCAACAGGTAACTGATAAAATAAATCAAATTTTCCATTATTTTTTAACTAAATATATTAAATTCTAATGTTTCTATAATGCTTTTTCTAGCACTTGCAATGGGTGATAAGATAGGCAATTTTGCAGTTGGTAAAGAATTTGATGCTCTTGTTATTGATATAAATGTAAAAGATACGTATTTAAATGATTTAAGAGAATATACTTTAGAAGAAAAGCTTGAAAAGTTAATATATTCTGGAGATGATCGCAACATAGCGGGAGTGTATGTAAGTGGACGTAAACTTAAATAAAAATGTTTTTCATACTTACAAGTTTTCTATCTATTTGGATCTCAGATAATTTAAATACTTTAGTAATATAATAACGTAATATCATAGTTAATTCGAATCCATAGATGAAACAGCTATATATGAAACATGTTTTGTATAAATTATAGTATATTATGTATAAATGGAAAAGAATATTTCATAAAAACGAATTACCCGAATATTGGTTTAAAAATGCCTCTATACTTCTGTTAGCCTGTTTGAATGCTTTTTCAAATCCAGCACTGTCCTCATCCTATAAGTCAAGAATAAAAAGATATTTTGTTAATTTATAAGAACGTGTTTTAATATACACAAATAAATGCAAGTAATATTTACAAATAAGGGATCTCGTATATTAAGTTCTCCAGTTGGATCATATTTTCCAAGAAGTTCAATTTTTGCTTGACTATCTTCTGGTTGCATATTACATAATTCATAAACTATTCCACTATCCATACCAAATATCCAATCAAATTTATAGAAATCTGCTTTTTGAATCTAAAATCATTACTTATATTATGTACTACTTGATAAAATCATAAAAACTTTAATTTCACTTACCAATCTTGCTGTATGAACATATTGTGTGATACCATTTTCTTTAAGTGTGCTCATAGCCCTAGGCTCTGGACTTTTACCTACATGATACTGCAAAAGTGCAGCACTATCTACTGCCCAAAAATCAATCATATTCATTCGTTTCAATTGATCACAGAACACAGCTTCTGCAATCGGAGAACGACAACTGTTTCCTATAATGTAAAAATATTAAAGAAATACTTGTCTCTTGATTTTTTACCATTTATCTATGTTTCTACACATACCTAAACATACCATTAACACTTTCCTCTTCTGTGACATCTCTTCCTGTAATAACTTCAAGCATAACTTTAAGGTTATGTAAAGATCCTTCAAAAAAGATATATATGTATATGATAGGATATATGACGTACATATGTACTCTTCACTTGAAGTCCCATCTGCACTAGTCCGATTTTCGTCGCGGACATTATACACTCACTCAGGAGCAGCCTCTTGCCCCTGTGCCATACCGCAGGACTTCAAGTGAGCTGCAAATTCCGGATAGTGACAAATCAAAATTTTATTATTTCAACAGATATTTATTAATTTTACACAATTCCAGAAAGTAGAATGGCTTTAATAGACCGAACACATTGTACATATACTTCACGAAATCCTTCACTGTTACTGTCCTGTAAATAAAAGTTCTATCAATTTAGAAATCATTGTAATAGAAAGAGTAGGAAAGTATGCGTGGTCATAAATTAATAATAGTACTTACATAATAAGGATCTCTTATTATAGTCTTTCCTTCAGGATCGTATCTTCCAAGAAGTTCAACTTTAGCCTTGCAATTTGGGGGTTTCATATTATTTAATTCAGAGATATTGTTGTTATCCATTCCAAATATCCAATCAAATGTATGAAAGTCTTCCTCGGTAATCTATAATGAATTATAAGAAACTATTACTATTTAAAGTAATCTAATGAAATATTAAATACCCTTTTGTTATAATAATGAAACCTTTACTCACAGGTCTTGCTTTATGAGAGTAATTTGTAATACCATTCTCTCTTAACACTTTCATAGCTCTGTGATCTGGACCTTTACCTGTATGATATCCAATGAGTGCTGCACTGTCCACTTCCCAGGAATGTTGCACATTTAATTTATTCATTTGGTCAATAAATACCGCCTCTGCTATAGGTGAACGACAAATGTTGCCTGTGTAAAACAAAAGTCATTTTTCATATCATTAATGTACATCACGTACTTTTTAAATTTATCATACAGCATGATTCTCTTGCCAAAAAGAATAGCATAAAATAAATATTAATCGCATAATTAATCATTATAATATAATTATAATAATTAAAAATTAAAAAAAAAATTAAAAATAATATAATAATTAATCATTATATTAATCGCATAAAATATTAAAGGTTTCTGTCATCTTTAGAACAAATATTAAAAGTACCTCCGATAACACGGATGGTATTGGCCCTTAATGATGCAACAATGTTATTTTCAAGCTACATCATTACCTTGCAAAAATATTATATGACTTACCTAAACAGATCATGAGAACTTTTTTTTTCGATTCCATATCGTAAACGATTTATTAGGTTTTCAGCTAAATAGCTAAAATGAGCGATGGACTGAAACAGTTTTAAAATATTACCGGATCGTGTGAGTGATAATCGTTTGATAATGCCAAGTGCCTTAATGCCAAAATGAATGTTTTTAGGCAACCCTGTATTGTGCATACGTATTTAGGCGATTGTGGTGTAGTGTCGGAAAGCTCAAACTGTTAGCTACATTTACTAACAGTTGATTTTGGCTAACAGTTTGAGCGTTTTGCCACTATCCTAATTGGCGCTATACGGACATCGAACGGAACTTCATTTTTTTTCCGAAAGAGGCGCCACAATCATCCATGAGCAACTCTTGTGTATACGAAATACATACATGCCATGTGCTTTAAATGAAATAGGTTAGACAGTATAAAAAATATTTTTAATATACCATGTCATTTTTCATTCGAAATAAGCAAACCATCGGAGGTAATAAGAGGAAGGTATGTTTCATATTTACATTTATTTTCAGTAGCTTCGGGTTTCTGTTTATATTTCTGTTTGTTTATTAACAATATATTTACATTGACTTTTTAGTTTAATGGTCGTGTTGCAAAGGCGAAAGGAAAGAAAAATATAAAGAAATTTGTACCTAATGATAATGAAAGCATTGCTAGTACAGATGAAGAACTTGCGGAGGAGAACCAGGGGTATGCACGTTTTAATAAATGTAAAGAATTTATATTATAATATTGTTTATATAATATGCTGTTGATAAAATTGCTGTTTACAGGCGTAGACCTGAGCCCTATGAAAGTGAGGAGGAAGAACAAGAAACTGCACAGGAGAAGCGTATAAGAATTGCAAAAAAGTATTTAGAACAAATTGAAGAAGAAGGTAATCTTTTAAAGCGATATTTTAACATTATACTTTATGAAATTCTAACTTCATCCTCGTGAAATATAGAACGAGATAGAGCAGAATTTGAACAGGGAGCAGTAACAAAAAGGTTACACGAAGAATACTTAGAAGAGAGAGGTCGGTTAAGGAAAACTGTAGCATCAAATTATGTTAGTCACAACGAGCCAATTACTTTGAAGTGCAAGGACCACAAAAATTCTATTACCTGTATATGCCTTTCCAGCAATGGGAAGTTCTTATACTCTGGTTCGAAGGATGGCAGTTTAGTCAAATGTATGTCACCTATAATTGAATTATTACCATATTTTGTTTTTGAATATTATTTTATTTTACTTCCTATTGCACATTAGGGTCGTTGAAAGAAAGGACTAAATTAAAATCCATCAGAGGGAGGAGAAAGAATCAAAAAGAAGGAATGAAACATATACAGTGCATGACTATTAGTACAGATAGCAAATTTTTGGTGAGACTACAAACAAATATTTTAATGTAATATACTTCGGTGTATGAGTCTACAAATATGTGCATGATTCTTTTATTTAAAGGTAGTTGGAGATAGTGGTTGCAAGGATATTAAGGTGCTTTGTGCAGACACCATGAACCATATAAAGAATTTACAGGGTCACAGAGGTAGCGTGACTGGACTGGTCTTTCGCAAAGATACGCATATGTTATATTCTGCTTCCGAGGACAGAAGCGTGAAAATATGGAATTTGGATGACATGGCATACGTCGAATCATTGTAAATATTTTTGTATAAAAATTCACAGAGTTTACCATAACTTCATTTTGAGATACTATTGTACCTGCTTAATAGATTCGGACATCAAAGCGCTATCATGTCGATCGACGCGCTGGCACGGGAACGGGCCATCACGGGTGGCGGTTTTGATCAGACAATTCGAATTTGGAAACTCGTCGAAGATTCGCAGCTTATATTTCATGGACCCGGTGGTAGCATAGACAGCGTGAAACTTCTAAACGAAGAAATTTTCCTTAGTTGCGGAGACGATGGACAGTTGTGTGTCTGGGGTTGTCAGAAGAAGAAACCCTTGTGTTCCGTGTCGAACGCGCATGGAACGGATGAACTGAATAATCAGCCAATGTGGATTTCGAGTATAGCTACATTACTTAATACAGATTTGGTCGCATCAGGTGCGCGCAAATATTTTCTACGAATATTATTTATCGAGCAATACTAAATATTTGATACTTGTTAATATCGCAGGCTCGCGAAATGGCTGTATAAAACTATGGCAATGCGGTGACTCTTTCAAGTCGTTGGAGCCGCTGTTCGAAATTCAGTTAACAGGCTTCATAAATGCGCTATACTTCACCCCGGATGGAACTGAACTGATCGCTGGCGTTGGTCAAGAACACAGGCTTGGAAGATGGTGGCGCATACCGGAAGCGAAAAATAGCATTGTTATAATACCGCTGGTTCAGACAAAAAATAAATAAATCAAAAACAAAAATCCAATTGTATAGAAATATATCTTAACGTTGAAGCAGTTTTACGTCTATAAAACAGATCATTATTTACTTTTTTACTTGTTGTAGTTTATTTCTTCCATGATCGTCGTCGTCGTCGTTGTCTTCGAAATCGTCGAGCTCGTTATCTATTTACGGGGGGTGCTAATGAAATAAAACAAATATTGGTCCACAGTACAAGTATTTATTTATTCTGTACAAAAGTTGAGTTATAAAATATTATATCCCCATTTTAGGTCTTGTTCTTAGTCTTGTATACCATGCCGTCTTGAATTCGTTCGTATAATAACAATTATCGCCGCAGAGGACATTTGCGCTTACCAGAAAGAAGCGGCTCGGCCATTGATTGATTCCCGTGCCACCGGCGGGCAAACCGGAGGCACATAATAATCGATCGATCGACATATTGTTCTCCCTTATTACTGCGTAAACGCGCGTGTCCTCGTGCGAACCTCGGGCTCACCGTGTACATATAAATCAAATCGACTTTTAATTCGCGTTGTTAGTCGCGTCAACAAACGGTACAGCGAGTGTACGCTACTTCGTGTGCATTCTTGCAATAAGTTTTCAAACGAGTGCGACAGTACGTAGGCCATTCTAAATAGGCGTTTCTCTCATCGTTTCATGTGCTCCATTTTTAATTACCATCTCATTTTATTTCCATATTGTTTCGTTTTTTCTCTCTCTCTCTCTCTCTCTCTTATGCTTAGATCTTAGGACGCGAGTGTGTGCCATTCCGCAGATAAATCGATCAACATTGCCTTTTATTTTTGCCTGATCAGTGTCATCCCCGTTTAGTTTTACTTTCACTAAGAACTCTGTATACCTTATACTTTGATACGTCCCGTCTAAATAATGCTTCCCTTCTCTTTCGTCTCGTTTCTAATTAGTCGAACTTTTCGCGGTCGCGTTTGATTCGCACGCTTTCAAATCGGGCATCGCTTTCGTTCATGCTACACCACTTCACGTTCCCTCTTTTCTTTGTTTTCTTTTTCTTTCCACGCCGCGAGTCTATCCAATTCTCTCACAAATCAATCGGAATGTATCAATTAAATCGTTTCCCAAGCATCCGACACGATAAACAAAATATCTTTCTTTTTGTTGTCACGATTAGAGGTTGCCGGTAGAAAAGCGAATCCACGAGTGCTTTTGCGAAGGAAAGCGATGGCACGGAAATGGCACCGAATTGACGCTAATTGTCGGAACTTATCGCTAAAACCGTTCAAAATATATTCGCTTATCGTTGCATTTTTTTTTCCCCTCAAATCAGAGGACGCCGCGGGGCGTCCTTTACTCGCAGCTGCTGAAGCACAATATACGCGTGTGTAAGACAAAACTTATTATGATACAGCACGTTTTACAAATATTTCTCTTAACAACCGTGTTTGATCGAGCTTACCTCCCTTAAGCTCGCGAACGAAAATAAACGCCGCCTACGCTCGAAAATTTTCTTATCAACCTCGTTTCAACGTGGTACAGAGGAACTGAGTTTTCATCATTATAATAGAGTCGTTTCAGAAAGAGACACGGTTTCGGAAGTTCTCCACGACATTGATTGTTTCCGGGTATGTTCCGCAACAGATTACAGTTCTAAACGTATCGTGAGAAAATACAGAATTTTTCCTGACAAAAATTCGTTCGAGGGGGATCAACGTGTATATAGAATAAATATATTATTATATGTATGTATAGAGAAAGAAACGAAAAAAAAAATGTGAAAACTGTTCTCCAGAGAATGGCGCTATCCTTTTCTTCTGTTCAAGTTCTGTCTTACGTGATAAAAAAAAAATGCTCTGCGCTGAGAAATCATTGTGTGTGTCGAAGGATCGCGAAAAAACTATTGCCAGTCGCGAGTCGTTTTCTGCGAGTCGAGAGATTCGTTGTCTGTGAAGCATACACGGCTAAAGACCTTAGGCGAATGAAAATCGAGGCTTAATCAATTGGATCGAATCGACTGAAACAAGTGGCATGGCCGCGTGCCCAAACGTTGGGGGTGGTGGCGCGTCTCGAAACATAATCAATCTTCCGTCACGGCATTCGCGAATCGTGAGATTTCGTACACTACACGCCGCCGCAATTTTTCCTATTATGTATACGCTATGTACATTCGATCCCATAAAGCACACGATATCCCATAGACTCGACATTCTTACAGTTTTACCATTCCGTATCCGCTTCTCGATATTAAATTACTTAATTAAACGATTATTATATCCAATGCGTCCAGAATAGAAATAGCATCCTTGATATGTCCTGTTGGAAGTGTAAAATAATCAGAATCAATCGACAGTCCAATCAATAATCGATCATCGATATCTGCGATCACGTGTGTGTGTGTGTTTTCGTGAAATTAAAATGCGCCAATCGGGAAGGATCAATCTTCGAATCTTCTTAATTCTACCAGTCGTTGCTCGAGAGCCTCGAGCAACGAGAGCCGCGCATACGTAATTTCTCTTCGTTAATTCTTCCGTGATTCGATGGTATCACACGTTCGAGCACCTCTCGGTGTAAAATGTTCGAAAGAGGGTGTAAGACGCGTAAGAAACACGGCGACGTACTTCGCCGACGATACTTAGTCACCGTTATTCTTTCCGAATATCCGGAAGAACGCGCGACTTTTTCTCGAACGATTGACCTAATCGATAAAAAAAAAGACAGAAAAAAACGGTGGATATTATGTGCTTTGCAAGATGTACTGCTCGTGAATGTAGCGCGTACGTCCGTCTATGGGAGACGACGTTTCGGTTTCGATGGAACGAATTGGAGCGATTTTCTATGATCAGTACCGAAAGACTCGCGAAATTCGAATATATGCGATCGAACCGGACATCCGCTTTCGCCGCGCGAACTCTCACATTTTCGTCTTTCCCACCACGCTATAACTTCCCGTTTCTCTTTTCGCATTCGTTCCGCAAAGGTAGGACAACGAACAAATTTACACGACTATTCAATAATTTGTCAATCTTCCGAGGGCATCGATGATGACGATGACGACAATAATAATAATAATAATATTAATAATATTAATGATATTAATAATAATAATAATAATAATTAATGATAATAATAATAATTGAAAATGGCAGTTTTCGTTCTCGTTTCGTTCGAAGTGTCGCGCGACGCGAGAGGAGCTCGCACGAAGAGGAACCTTTGTTTGTTTTCTGTGCGTTCGAGAAACCGGATATCGTGATCGCCATGGCGAAACGGTATCGCTTGAAACCAATCCAGAGACACGTAACAAATTCATTCGAATTCTTCCTAACGTCGAGACCCATGAATTATCAAAAAAAAAGAAAAAAAAAGAAAGAGAAAGAAAAAGGAAAGAAAAACTAACCGAGAAAACGAAAGAACGTGACCGAATAACGATCCGAGTTCCTCTCGCGGCCCGCTCGTTTTACAATCCTCTAAATAAATTGTAGTTTAAGAGTCACGTTCGAAGATGCACACCTAACATCGATAACATCTATCCGGTGAAATCGGCGCAACAAAGCGTGAACGGTCAGAAGAACGTGTATCCGCGATGCGGTTTTCGAAATCATCGTCGCGTGTTTTACCATTTGTACAAAAAAATATACGTTCATTATCTTTTTTTCTTCTTTCTTTTTTTTTCTTTATTATTCAGGCGGATCCGAATGGTCCACGGTGCGCGTCTTTGATAATGTTTCACGTCTCGTGATTTCAGGCAGGCAGGCAGGCAAGCAGGCAGCGCGCGCGCGCGCGCGCGGTCAGGCAGGCAGAAATCATTTCGAAACTGGGCCCTCCTCCGCCCCTCCCTCCTTTTTCTCTCTTTCTCGCCGCTACGAAATTTTTTATTCCAGGAACACATTAATGCCTGTCAAGAGTTGGAACGGAAAGAGCGTGACACGCGATTTCCTCAAATCTACCCGGCTATTCAGCACCGTGAATCGTTCGGGCCCGCGCGGCCCACGCGACATGCCGTGGCCGTGTGTCGCCGATGACGGCGTTCAAACGCAAAAAAGGAAACCTGGTTTTCTCATCGAATCCGCGGACTGGTGCTCGATACCCTGGTCTGAACCGCGTGGAACGTGGATCGCACGCATCTCGTCCACCGAGAGCATTTCCATTTTGTACTAAACAATTCGAGACGACTCGCGCAAGGTACTTTCAAAACGAAACGGCGTCGTCGACGTCGTGTCGACGTACTTCTCTGTACGTGTGTAGCAAACGTGTCTGTATATGTGTGGCTGTGTGTAATTCCGCGTGTGTAACAAAGGGGGGACGCCCGGTCTCCCTGTCCGGCATTATCTTCCTCTCTCTCTCTCTCCCTCTCTCTCTTTCTCTCTTTCTTTTTTTTTGGCTTTTTACATCGTAGTTTTTCTTTTACTCTCCGGCATATTACTTCGTCTTCTCCGTTCTCTTTCTTTTGTTTACTTTCGTTTTCCATCGATATATGTGACCCCGTATATATCGACATAGATAATACAATATACCTATTATAAATCCGGCGACGCGACGCCGACATAATTCCGCGGTCAGAGGCGTCGTCGACCCTTTCCCCTACTGTTTTCTCCTTTAATCAGAGATCGGCGCACGCGTTCGCGTTATCTCTCGCGTGGCCGTCGAAATTTCCCTTTCACGTAAATTTTCTGTGTCTCTTGTGTGTGTGTGTGTGTGTGTGTATGCTTGTCGAAGATGTGCTGTGGTGTGTGATCATGCAAATGGATGCCTTCTCTCCTCTCTCGCTCGTATTTTTGTCCCGAGACGTCGCGATATCGCGGCGTCTTCCTTCGCGCGCACGATTCCGCTTTACTCTCTCCCTCTCTCTCTCTTTCTCTTTCTCTCTCGCTTCGTGTCGCGAATGCTGATGTCAATGACTGGAGTTCATTTGCGCGCGTGTGTGCATGTATGTATGTACGTGTGTGTATATCCATGTTATCCGTGTATGCGTGGTCTTCCATGTACTTCATGAAGATCGATTCTTTTATTTTATCATTTTTTTGTTGTTCGTTGAACGTTTACTCAGTGTTACGGTTAGCTGCAATTTTTTTGTCGATTATGTGTCTTTTTTTCCGGTTTTTTTGTCTGCTTGGACTGTTTAAATACTATTTCGCTACAAGTGGACTACCATTATGAAACTCTACGCTACTTTGTATTGTATTGTAATGCTTTGTAATGAACGACTGTACTGTACTGAACGTGCATACTTGGTGAGCACACGCAATCTATAAAGAGTGATCCCGTTTTCACGTGCGCCACACGTGGGGCCGCGTCATCCGTTTCCCGTCCCTTTTCTCTCTCTCTCTCTCTTTCTGGCATCTCTTTTCGTTCAAACGTTATCCCTCGCCGCTAATTGTTTCTCCAGGATTTGCCGGACCTTTAAACACGGTGCAACCAAATACGCATGTGCGACGCTGCCGAGGAAAACCTGTGATCGAACCGTCGAAAAATAAAACGTACGTTGATCGGATTGTATCGCGTGGATTTTTCACGAGGGTAGCAAAACGCGCGCCGATAGAAAATGGCGATAACGTGACGGGCGGTATGGCAAACGCGGCGCCCCCGTGTGCTCTCCGTGACCGGGACCGTATTTGTGTCATGTAATGTACCTGTTACAAAATTAATATATGCAACTGTGAGAGAATTCATGACCTGGCTAAAAAGTGTGGTTCTGTATTCAAACGTTCTCGTTTAATTAGTACTTGTGTTCTCGGTTATGAGTAATAATCATACTTTAATAATAACCACTTCGTGTTCTTCCATCTTGTTAAAAATCTTAGACATCAACGTACATTCACTTTTATAATAAATCGTTATTAGAAACCTATCCTCGTTACTTGCTATGCATTTAATATAAATTTCATCGTGTTATCGTTATTGATCGTAATCTGGTATTTTTTTTTTCTTCTTTATATTTACAACGACGTACCTACGAAATCATCTCGATCCCCTTTTTACGCTCGATAATCCGCGGCCTGCGTCTCATTACGCGGTGGATATAATTGAACCTCTTTTCCTCTTACTCTTTTCTTTCTTTACTTTCACTCTCTCTCTCTCTCTCTCTCTCTCTCTCTCTCTCTTTCGCTCTCTCTCTCGCTCGTTCGCTCTCTCTCTCTTTTTCTCTCCCTCCCCCTAATCGCTTCCTTTGTCTGTACTCGTTCACTTTTTACTTCTCGTTTACACCCCCTCCCCTATTTGAAAAAAACCACTGTCTTGAGAAGAGAGGAACAAGTCCTTCGCGTACGCAACGAGAGTACGTGCTGTATCTTCCTCGAAGACCTCTAATCTCCTTTCGACATTGTTCCTGAACACGCACACGAGAGGATAACACAATGAAATAGCGAAAACGAACGATAGAAATCGCAGTCGAGGGGGGAAACACGGGGATGTCTTTGGAATGAAACGTGAAACCTGTTCCTCGTTCTGTTCTTCGCGGATCTGCTCGGAAACGTGCTGCTTTGCGACGTGTCTCTCTGCCTCTCTCCCTCTCTCTCTCCCTCTTTCTCTCTCTCTCGCCTCTCTTCTGTGTATGTGTATGGCCTGTATGTGTACGATACTTACACGATTAATGGTGTGAAGGCTAATCTTAACGCGCGACCTAATTAACTGTTCCATTAGACGTTAAAATTATTCCTGTCGACATGTCGGTGCCTTTAACTCTCTAATATATCGAATATCTACACATTACTTTCTACTAACGATTTAAATACTTCAGACGACGCTTGTACCTGGCTTGCTGGATAAAAAAATATCTTTTCCGAGGAGCAGCGTTTCACGTGTGTATCTTTGTTTCTTTGTTTTGCGTCTGTGCATGTATGTATGTATGTATGCATGTACGCACGTGTGTTGTGTGAGCTCATGTCATTTACGTGTAAGGTGTTATGTGTAAAGTGTACGCGTGTGGGGGTGGAGTGACGAGGGGGGGCGTGAGGGAGATGGCAGGGTTCGTTGCGGTGGATGCTGGTTGTATTGCGGGTGCTTTGGAACGGGTTCGTAACGAAACAGAAGAAGGAAAGAAAAATAAAAATGAATTGCAGTGAGTGACCTTGTCTATTTTCTATCGATAGTTCGAGTCTATATTATTGTTATTACTATTATTCACCTATCGTCCGTAAAAATGTGTACCATTCACAATGGATCTATGTAACGTTGCTGCATTGCTATTGCATTTATGTAATTCTTTTCTTTCTTGTCTTCTTTTTTCTTTTCTCTTTTTACGGGCATCGTTCCGCTGGTTCTGATTAAATTCGCTATCGAGCCGATCGATGGATCCGGTTGGCCGCGCCGAGGGGAGGAGTCGCAGTCCTCCGTTGCATCCACGATTCCGATATTTCTGTGTCTCTGAATGCGTGTACGTGTACGTCTGTATGTGTGTGTGTGGGCATCGCGCCGCAATCAATGTACAAACGCATTGGGGGCCCGGTGGTTGCACCCCGGGTGCACCGCGCGCGCGGACAAAATGAAATCGCGACAAGCTCTGAGGGACCCGCAAAACGAAGTTGTACGTAAGAGAAACATTTTGTACATCGCGCGTGTGAAATGCTCCTACATTTGGTGGGGGACAACGACGACGACGAACGTGTTCGTTTATACGTATCCTATGAAAAACGGTATCGTGAAACGGCGGCTACTTAGGGGCGAAACTGATCTACGGGGCCGAGTGCGTTACGCGAACGCGGTTATTACACTGTGCACAGGTGATTGTCTTTGGGTTTTCGATTTGCGNTTATTGATCGTAATCTGGTATTTTTTTTTTCTTCTTTATATTTACAACGACGTACCTACGAAATCATCTCGATCCCCTTTTTACGCTCGATAATCCGCGGCCTGCGTCTCATTACGCGGTGGATATAATTGAACCTCTTTTCCTCTTACTCTTTTCTTTCTTTACTTTCACTCTCTCTCTCTCTCTCTCTCTCTCTCTCTCTCTCTTTCGCTCTCTCTCTCGCTCGTTCGCTCTCTCTCTCTTTTTCTCTCCCTCCCCCTAATCGCTTCCTTTGTCTGTACTCGTTCACTTTTTACTTCTCGTTTACACCCCCTCCCCTATTTGAAAAAAACCACTGTCTTGAGAAGAGAGGAACAAGTCCTTCGCGTACGCAACGAGAGTACGTGCTGTATCTTCCTCGAAGACCTCTAATCTCCTTTCGACATTGTTCCTGAACACGCACACGAGAGGATAACACAATGAAATAGCGAAAACGAACGATAGAAATCGCAGTCGAGGGGGGAAACACGGGGATGTCTTTGGAATGAAACGTGAAACCTGTTCCTCGTTCTGTTCTTCGCGGATCTGCTCGGAAACGTGCTGCTTTGCGACGTGTCTCTCTGCCTCTCTCCCTCTCTCTCTCCCTCTTTCTCTCTCTCTCGCCTCTCTTCTGTGTATGTGTATGGCCTGTATGTGTACGATACTTACACGATTAATGGTGTGAAGGCTAATCTTAACGCGCGACCTAATTAACTGTTCCATTAGACGTTAAAATTATTCCTGTCGACATGTCGGTGCCTTTAACTCTCTAATATATCGAATATCTACACATTACTTTCTACTAACGATTTAAATACTTCAGACGACGCTTGTACCTGGCTTGCTGGATAAAAAAATATCTTTTCCGAGGAGCAGCGTTTCACGTGTGTATCTTTGTTTCTTTGTTTTGCGTCTGTGCATGTATGTATGTATGTATGCATGTACGCACGTGTGTTGTGTGAGCTCATGTCATTTACGTGTAAGGTGTTATGTGTAAAGTGTACGCGTGTGGGGGTGGAGTGACGAGGGGGGGCGTGAGGGAGATGGCAGGGTTCGTTGCGGTGGATGCTGGTTGTATTGCGGGTGCTTTGGAACGGGTTCGTAACGAAACAGAAGAAGGAAAGAAAAATAAAAATGAATTGCAGTGAGTGACCTTGTCTATTTTCTATCGATAGTTCGAGTCTATATTATTGTTATTACTATTATTCACCTATCGTCCGTAAAAATGTGTACCATTCACAATGGATCTATGTAACGTTGCTGCATTGCTATTGCATTTATGTAATTCTTTTCTTTCTTGTCTTCTTTTTTCTTTTCTCTTTTTACGGGCATCGTTCCGCTGGTTCTGATTAAATTCGCTATCGAGCCGATCGATGGATCCGGTTGGCCGCGCCGAGGGGAGGAGTCGCAGTCCTCCGTTGCATCCACGATTCCGATATTTCTGTGTCTCTGAATGCGTGTACGTGTACGTCTGTATGTGTGTGTGTGGGCATCGCGCCGCAATCAATGTACAAACGCATTGGGGGCCCGGTGGTTGCACCCCGGGTGCACCGCGCGCGCGGACAAAATGAAATCGCGACAAGCTCTGAGGGACCCGCAAAACGAAGTTGTACGTAAGAGAAACATTTTGTACATCGCGCGTGTGAAATGCTCCTACATTTGGTGGGGGACAACGACGACGACGAACGTGTTCGTTTATACGTATCCTATGAAAAACGGTATCGTGAAACGGCGGCTACTTAGGGGCGAAACTGATCTACGGGGCCGAGTGCGTTACGCGAACGCGGTTATTACACTGTGCACAGGTGATTGTCTTTGGGTTTTCGATTTGCGGGTTGGTCAGCGATCGTGTGTGTGTGTGTGTATCGGTTCTACGACTAGAGAAACTAAAAAAGAAAAAAAAAAGAGAAAAAAACGTGGTACGTGCCTTTTTCGTGAAACGCGACGCGATAGTCAACGGAACGCGAAAGGAATGTGACGACACGTGACGTATAGAACGTATATTAGAAACGGAAACGCTGAACGGAATTCGTCGAATCGTGGACACGGGAGACCGACCGCCGGTCCTCCTACCCCTCGTCGATCGCTCGTACGATTACGGATTGCTATTGCGATTATAACACATGGGTCGTAAAAGTACAAACTGTAAACAGACAGGCGAACGGACAGACAGACAAACAGACGTGGATCGGAGGCATGTAATACTTAGGCTTACAATACTGTATTGGATAACATTATACACGCATTCAATTTCCGACGTTCAATTTCCCTCAACATTCCCGGCTGATCGTTGTGTCGTTGACGACCCTCTCCTACTTGGTTGTCGCGTTAGTAATCAAGGACCATGACGAGCCATCGATGAACGATGAAAACGAGTCGGTCAATCGAGCAGCCTTCAGGATACATTTCATTTTTTATTAGCTACGATTCGGAATTGGGGTCGCTGTTACTCTCTCTCTCTCTCGCTCTCTTTCTTTCTTTCTCGCTCTATTTCTCTCTGTTTCGCATTTTCACACACTCTATTCCTCTCTCGCGCACTGCGTCTCGTACGATACATCTATACCTTTCTCCGCATACTCGTATTTACAATAACTCGTTACTCTTCTAGTCGCCATTCGATTCATTTTCTTTTTTTCCCTCGGCCGACACGAGACACAGCTTCTGGCCGCCGTTCTTCACGCTTCCCTCTCCTTATCCTCGGACGATCCCCAAAGATGGTTCTCCTCGCGTCGATTAAGCTCCGTTCACAACCGGTCTTCGGGAGCGACTCTCGCTGATGCAGCATCGAACAGAATTCCGCCGATCGTCGTCGAGGCTTGCTAATCGTGAATCAAATCAGGCTTTCTCGCAAAGCAACGGATAGGCCGACGCCGTTTAACGCGGGAAACTTTCGAAGTTTCGAATTGAAGCGGCGCGCACGGCCGGAGGCCGTCGCCGGCCGCGCATGCGCGCACGCGACGCTGTTGTGCTGCGACTCGCGATCCGAGGTACGTGCTCGACGGTCGTCGCGCGGCGTCGTGGCCCATGGCAGTATGTACGGTACTGTGTTTTCGGCAGAGATACAGAGACAAGTTGATTGATTGCGTGTTCGCGCGATCGTCGAGCACAACGATGCCCGGTACAACAACGATCGTCGGTGCGCGTTTAACAGAGGATGGATCGAACGATGTATGGCGCGTTTGAATCGTGCAACGGAGTTTCAACGCGTGCGCAGAGGTCGCTGTCGTCGGTGCGCGCGCGGTACAGTTCCGAGTGGCAGCGCGGGCGACGGTCGTGTGTGACCGTTTTCTGTATTTAGTTAGATCGGACAATAATCCTGCACGATCGTCGACAAAGAAACGCGAGTTGCGCGCGCGCGCGCGTGTTTGTGTGTGTGGAAACGAATGTATATTCGGCGAACAATAAATAGGGTGCGAAAGAATAATGGCGGTACAATGGAACGAACGGTCACAACGGCCGGACCGGTCGAAGCTTGCAAAACGGATCGCGGCTGCGACGTGTCTCGGTTACGCGGGTTCGACACCACGCTTCGAGCGTCCCACAGATTGAGGAAATCTAAAAAAAGGAAGAGAACAACGAATGGCGGTTGTGATCCGATGATGACAGGTGAGAGCTGATCGTGTTCTAACCTTCGCCCTGCTCGCGTCGTGTCGCCTATAAACCCCCGCCGAATACGCAATTTATTCGCTAGTGAAATTTGATATTTTTACTAGTAAATATAGAATATCGAGTGTGATTATTCGTAGCGTAATGATAGCGGAGAATAAATATAATACAGATCTATAAGATAGTGTTTCGGTATGGTACAACTATGATACAAAAATTTCTCTTCAATTATCTCGCTCCGCGGTCAGTCTCTCTCTCTTTCACGCATGCGCACTCGCTCGCTCGCTCGCTTCGCTTCATAGTAATTCGACGACGCCCGACATCCGAAGCGAGGAATTCTTCTCGTCGCAGCAAAGACGAAATATGCCGCTTCGTTTCTCATTCTATCGTGTATACGTACTCACACACACACACATACATAGACACATGAACATGCACACATACACGCACACACGATCCCGCCGGAACATAACAAAGGTTCGTCGCAGGTTTTACTGTTTTATGACACTGACGATACCGCGGCGCCGATCCTCGTTCGATCCGCGCCAAACAGAACACGCACGCACATACATACGCGCGCGCGCGCGCGCACGCACACTGTTCCCCACGCACACCGTATATCGCACTCTTTCCTCGCGTGTGTCATATATAAGATTTTTACCTAGTATACGGCACTCTCTTAAATCCCCCTTGGCCCGGCGATTCGTGAGCCAAGGGCCACTTGTACATATTCATTAGGAATTTATTTACACGCGTGCTAATTATCCTGGTCGCGTTCCTCGTTCAAGCACGCGCGCGAACGGTCCTTCGTTTCGTCGACTCGGATCGCCCGGCCGGTCTTCTCCCGGTCGGACACCCGACCCGACTCTCCGTCCGAACTAATTCCTGGATTAGTTCTCGATTCAATGCCCAGCGCGCATCGCGAGACTGCGGTATCTGTGTATGGACGTGTTCGATCGGGAAGAAAGAGACTGGCGAGAAATCTCGGTCTGTGTAAATCGGCTCGTAAAACGGTCGCTTTTGGTTCGTCGTTCGTCGGATAATTATATTCCTCCGAGTCCGTTCACGTGAAACGAACGGCTGCACGTATGTAATGGTTACTGTGTTAACGATCTCGGATCGCCGTTTCCGTAAAACGGCCCCGAGAGTTGGCCGGCAACGAAGGACCGTTCGCTCGTCCGTCGACCTCCTGGCGGTCGTATCGCTCGACCGCGGGGATCGCACGGCGAAGCTCGCACAGCTTCCCCGCTGCCCCGGCAGGTGTCTCCAGCGCCTTCGTGCCCCCACCCCCCGCTAGAGAATAATTAGCACGCTGTTCACACGACTTCGTCTCACGTTTTCCTCGTATTTCGAATAAATATCTAGAATTAGCGTAATGATAAGAAGGACAACCAATACGACTACCATTTATAGTAGTGATAATAGTGGGCATACTATAATAGTGTCTAGTAGTAGCGTTTTCTCTCTCTCCGCCTCGTCTCGTCTTTCTCTTTCGTCTTTGTAATCTTACTATCTACCGTCCTCGTTTTCATACTCTTCCTCCTCTTCCTTTACGTTTACTCTCCCGATAGTTTATATACGTTTTTGTTTTTCAATATTATGGCGTTGCTGCTCCGTGTGAGTTGTGCTGCGTGTCTCTTCTCCCGACGATGTTTTTTTTTTTATAATACGCTCATCGATCTTCGTCGATCTACGCTTCCAAAACCCTTACGGATGTACGTATACAAATCCGTATACGTATACGTATACATATATACACACATACATACGCGTACGCATACACACGCGGCTATCCGTATACATATACGCGTGGTTAGGTGGCATATCCGTACAGACACGAGATGTGTATACGTACGAATTTATGTATATGTATAATATATTTCGTCTCCTTGTTTTCTTTTTTTTTAGTCTGGTTGGTTTCTGTTTTTTAGGTTTTATCGTCTTCCTGCGTCTTCTTCTCACGATTAAGCTTTCCCGTTCTATCTCTCTCGAGGCAGTCCGACCATAAATCGTGCGCGTTTTACTTTTTCACGATCGAGGGGCGGCCGCGCGCGGGGCTATACGCGCGTGCCTCAAGAAATTAATTAAACGTAGGATAATCACAGAAAAAGGGGTTTCGACGTATGGGGTATACGTTCTCGTCGGCGGCGCCGTCGCTTCACCGGAACAACTGCGGCAGAAGCACGCTGATCGCCAGGCTTCCAGTAACCACCACCAACAGTTGGCTGAACCGATCTTGAACTCGGCTGGAACTCGCCCCGTTGTAGGTCAACTCTTCGTTCTTCACCACTTCGTTCGGGTGGTCCGAATACTCTTCTGTTGGCACAAGAAAAATGAAATCATCGTTAGCTTCCGCAGCGTGTCGAAAATATTATTTGGGAGAAATTGTTTTACAGATTTATATTTAAGATTTGCCGATGAGATATTTACGGAGCTGGGAAAAAGTAGATTTTTGACAGCAAATAGACTACAAATATTATGATCTTCTCGCGTAATACAGAATTCAGCGGATATAATATTGTTTTTTAAATAGTAGTTATATATCGAAATTGCATTTCAAATATATTTTTTATCTTAATAAATAATAAATTAATAATAATTAATTATATAATAATAATAATAATAAAAAATTAATTAGTAATAAATAAATAATAATATTTATATTTTATCCATACGTAACTATTATTTAAAAAAGAGTACGTCAAATTCTGTATTACATTAGAGGAAAGATCAAAATATTTTAATTTTTCCCCAGCGCCGAGTTCCCGAGGGAAACAAAAGATATAATGTAACGTTCGTCATCCGATGCTCCTCGACAATTTGTCCCGATTTAAGGTACTCCAACTCGATCGGCTCTTAGCTCGGAATCAAGATGTAGTTCGGAGCAGCCAGCTCTCCTAGGAATGCTGTGATACAGTTACGGCATCTGCTTCGGGCTTAAATGAAGCCTTAGTTAGACCTAGGATTCCTGGGAGTATCTGCCTCTTAAGGTCGGTTAAAATCCGGTTAATGCCAAGCCTGGTCTACCTATATTAAAGGCTAACTGCGTTCGGGCTAATTACAAGCAATATGTCTTTATGCCCCCCTAGAGAAATGAGATTAACTGGTCGCGGGACAGAAGACTTCCAGGAATCCTGGACACCCTGGACATCCGCTGGCGGACGTTCTACGACCGGTGAGCGACATTCGCAAATTACCTCTTTTTCGCTTTTTCCCTTTTTCTCCGGCGACTTCTATTAGCGCGTTAATACGACGGTGGACGTTGTAAATTTCAATCGGCGCGTTGTAATTTCGCGCGGGCAACACCGCGATCGGAAAAGATCGATGAATAAAGCGGGGTGCTCCGACTCGAGTAATTTCAATTGGACAGCTTGTGAATACAAATTCTCGGCCGTGGCCCGCGACCGAAACGGCGCGGCGGCTCTCGTTAATGAGTGGCGCGGCTTATCGGTGCAAATGCAAATGCAGCCGTCCGCGTGCGCGCGTTTCCGAAGTCGAATTATCATAGGTGTCGACGTAAAAAGAGGTGAGGCGGGGTGCGAGCACCGAGTCGCGGTCGACAGATGGTTGTCGGGCGGTCGTCGAATTCAATTCCCGGTTTCCATTCCGACTGTTCTCCATCTGGCACGCGCGCGTCCGCGCCGAGTTGCGCGCTGCCGGCTTTTCGATCTATTCGGCGTCGCCTTTTTTCCTGTACACGCGGGCGCTCGCGCGTCCTAAACGTCGATAGACGGTAATCGACGCGGAACGGTTTCGATCCGTTTTCGTTACGGTAATCGAAGAAAATTAAGATACTCTCCGGCGGGATGCGAACGGTCCATAAATTATTCTTTATGCGGGCAAAAATTTATTTCTAGGCGTTGCGACGCGCCGACACGGCTGGGAACATTCGGCGACCGTTGAGGTTTCACGTGCGCCGCCGGCCGAGGCGCGCTTTAATAATCACTCTTTCCGATGCAATTTCACTGGAGGCGCATCGGGACCCGGGCCCCGGTAACAAGTAGAACAAGGTACGGCCGGACGATAAAATTTTAAACCTCATTAAAATTTATTCGCTCGTTATTTACTTTATCCGACTTAATGCGACCGACCGATAAGCCGGCTGAATTACGTAAAATGATTGTTTGGCACGCAATGGACCGTCACGTTCAACTACGTAACGGTAATTTAATGAGTGGAAACACCAGCGAAACCGGCGACGGTCTCTCCCTCCCCCCGGCTCCCACCCACAGATCGCCTAAACGGTCGCGAGCGAGGAGGGCGACGCTGCTGCGCGCACTGCTATCGAAACAAAGAGAAAAATAACGACTGAAAGAAAGTCCGAGGAAGCGCCGCGGCGAGAGGGATCTCGTGACTATGCGCGCCGTCTCGAAAAGGAGAAATATCAATTACGCGGCGCTAATAACGAACCCCGACGCAACCCGGCAATTCCTGCCTCCGAAAGAAAGATTTACATAAGATAACGAGCAGTAAAGTCGTCGGGGACGAGTGGTTTATCTTAATTTTATGCAACAGTAATTTCGATACAAAGTAATAATTACCGGCCCGGCAAAAGGGAACCAACGATTAAAGACACCTCCACCGTGCGCGGTGCAATTGCAAAACGCGCGGTGCTCGGCCGCTTCGACGGCGAACAGGGGCGAACTCCGTTCCCGGGACGCGCCGCGCGCGCCCCCGAAGTCCTTCGCATCGCCGACTCGAGTTTCCGTCATTACCGGGGCTTCCGTTCGCGATAATTAAATCCGCCGGGCAGGTCGGACCGATTCGGCCAGATTTCCAGGATACGCGGGGATCGACGATCGTCGACAGCGTCGCGAAAGCGTTTCGACGCGACGATCTTCCGGGCATCGACGAGTCGCTGACGAGCCGCTGACGACCGGTCTCGTCGGTCAACGAGATCGTCGTCGTCGCTGTAATTAATTCCGACGCGAAAGAAATCCGCCGGCCGTGATGGACGATTCCGGGGAACGGGCAGAAATTCGTTTCGCGGAAAAGATTCGCGTCCATCACCGATAAACGGTGGAAGAGAGGCCGGCGCGGCGCGGCGCGGAGAGGCGCCCTCGGGGCGGTTTCACGGACGGCGAGGCCGGCCGATTAGCGTTACGGGGGGCTGAATCACATATTTCCTATCTTCCGATCCTGGAAATCGGCCGCCAATCTCCGAGTGTGTCCGGTCCGAAAATCCACTAATTCATGCGGACGTACCCTCTCTCTCTCTCTCGCCCCTCCGTTCCGCAATTAATGTCGGTGTAGCCGGGATACCGGGAAAAATCGCTGGCCAAGATAATGGTCGCGAGGAGCATCGAGAAACTCGTTCCGCGGCAAAGGGAGCAGGTGGCGAGGAGCTGTGTATACGTACTGTTCTTCTTCTTCTGGCCGATCGAGGTCTTGGGCGGCAAGGAAGACGGCGGTCCATTGTGAATCGGAGGCTGATGCGGATGCACGGGGTAGATAGCCGGAGGGGGCGCGTGGGGCAGGGTCGGCGCTGCCGTGGCCGGTTGATGATGATCGTGATGATGATGAATGTTGCCCCCTGGGTAGAATCGATCTCCGCCCTTGAGGACGCTTGGTGGTGGCTGGGGTGCCATTCCGCCGGCTCCTCCACCCAAAACTCCGGTGCTGGTCGAGCTGCTGCTTGGCACGGTGCTGCTGGTCACGGGCACGGCTGCAACCACACGTCAAAAATTACATTTCTCTCTCTCTCTCTCTCTCTCTCTCTCGCTTTCTCTCGCTTTCTCACTCGTTTTAGCTGTCTTTCTGTTGCACAGCGGCAACTTCTCTCCAAATATCTTAGGCAAAATGCAATTTCCAAACTACAGTGATGTCTCTCTAATTGACGCACGGATTGTCCACAGAAATGGACAAATTGGAAAGAGGAGATACGATTAATTTGAGTCTTGCGCCTCGTTTTTATAATCACCGATTTTCAACGACTATAAAAACGAGACGCAAAGCTTGAATAATCGTGTCTCCTTTTCCCGAAATGTCCATTTTTGTGGGCAATCTAAGCGTCAGTTAGGGAGACATTACTGTATCTAGCGCCAAAAAAATGCTATAGTGCATACTATACGTTGTACGAATTTCGTGCATAGTTATCGAGATATAGGCCGTCAACGTTGACGAATTCTGGTGATTTGTAACATGTAAATAGTCCGCGATTTTAATTATTAAGGTTCGCAAACTTTTAAGTTTACAATTATTGAAATTATAGAGATATATTCGCGGAGAATTTATTCAAATTTCGTTTCATTGGGGGCATATACTGTGTGGTAAAAGTCGTCGAATAAAGTGAAACATCGCCGAAAAAAAACCGGAACAAATATATGCTGGTTAATTTTGNCTCGTTTTTATAATCACCGATTTTCAACGACTATAAAAACGAGACGCAAAGCTTGAATAATCGTGTCTCCTTTTCCCGAAATGTCCATTTTTGTGGGCAATCTAAGCGTCAGTTAGGGAGACATTACTGTATCTAGCGCCAAAAAAATGCTATAGTGCATACTATACGTTGTACGAATTTCGTGCATAGTTATCGAGATATAGGCCGTCAACGTTGACGAATTCTGGTGATTTGTAACATGTAAATAGTCCGCGATTTTAATTATTAAGGTTCGCAAACTTTTAAGTTTACAATTATTGAAATTATAGAGATATATTCGCGGAGAATTTATTCAAATTTCGTTTCATTGGGGGCATATACTGTGTGGTAAAAGTCGTCGAATAAAGTGAAACATCGCCGAAAAAAAACCGGAACAAATATATGCTGGTTAATTTTGTGAAGCAACGTAAAATGGCCGCTACCTGCTGAATCTAAAGTTATAACTTTAGATACAAGTTTGAAGTACACCAAATAGCGTTGATTACATAAATACAGCAAAATATCGGCAAATTATAGATATCCGCGAAAACTAGATCAAAACGATGCTTAATGTCGCCGGTGTTCGATTCTCTATTTTTGAAGCTCGCCAACAAAATGCTCTCCGTTTCGAACAAAAAAAAAAAGAAAAAAATCGTGCGAATTTATTAATCGTGCGAACTTTTCGTGAGAAGGTGTGCGCGACTGAGCGTCGTCCGCGCGGACACTGTCCGACCCGCGAATATTTTGAGCGATCGCGTGCCGCCGGAGTTACGTGGCCCGTCCTGTTCGATTTCCAGCGAGGTTTATTAATGGCCGCGCGAAAGCGCATTCGTATTCGTTCGCCGGGGAATAAAGTATTAAATTAGAGGGGCAAGAAGGGCCCGGGATATACGGTCGTGCGGGCTTCATCGATCGCGGAGAGGCGACGAGGATCGGAACTTTCGTTTTGGGTCGTGGAAACGAGTCGCTCGGAATTTCGTTGATTCGATTATACTCGTTGTTACGAGCGGCAACGGCGCTTTTCGGTCGGATGATTTAGGATAACGTTTCCGGCGCAATTTCGGTCCCGGCAACGACCGAGTTTTGCGTGTGATTTTCGGCCGCGGCCCGACGCGGCCCTCGCGGACTGCGGCCGCGCCGCGTCGACGGCCGGCCCATAAACGGAGCCAACGGCGGAATCGCACATCGATTTCAATTATCGGCGAGCCAGAGGACCCGCGCGTTCGATATTTTAACGCGGCCGCGTCCGTATCGGAACAGACGCGGTTATGATTGCGGCCGTTAAATTTTATTTAATCGCGTCGGCGATCGTTCGGCGTTGCGTCGCGCGGATGTCGCCCGTGCACACAATAATAGACGCGCGCGCGGCTAGCCGCCGTTATAGTTATCGCCGCGGACGCTGTAAAAGTTTCGTTCAAATTCGCGTAATCGTAACGTACCGGAGAGAGTAGAGACCAACGAGTTGTCGTTGTTTCTGCGTGAACTCGGAACAAGAATCTCCAGTCTTCGAAAAATGTACAGTAATGTCTCCCTAATTGTCGCCCAAATTGTGCACTGTAATAGACAATTTGGGAAGAGGGGACGCGATTATTCGAGCCTTGCGGCTCGTTTGTTATAATTACCGATTGTCAATAACCATAAAAACGAGCTGCAAGGCTCTAATAATCGTATCTCCTCTTCCTAAATTGTCCATCTTTGTGAACAATCTGAGCGTCAATTAGGGAGACATTACTGTACTTCGAAATTCATTTCTGACGCGGTTCAAAACTATTTTAGAACGGTGGAAAATGAAAACGATCGCTTGGACACCGGGGATCGGGTCTATTTAGACCCAGATTATTGATATCGTTCTTCAAACATCTAGTTTCTGACAAATTAATGTAAATTATTACACGTTGCATTAAAGTTGTTCGAAAGAAATAACGCGTATCGAAAGAGCATGTTAAGAAGTGTGTTGACAAAAATTGACGAATAAAATGAGCCGTTTATTTTGAAAGTGGCATAAGTCACTTTACCGTAATGAAAAGTGGTGATTTTTTAATGATTATACGAAATTATTTGTACCGAGAAAAATATCAGTATCCTGAGATAACAAATACAAGTAAATCTTCTCGGAAGTTAGCATCCATGTTTTTAAACGTGTTAAAACGCAAACCCTTAAATATATCGACTTAAAAACAACGTGACTTATGCCACTTTTAAAATAAACGGCTCAAATGATAAATGACGTTAGCATCATTCACGGTTAAATTTCCGTCGAGAAGGTCCGCCGTTGAAGTGTCATGTCTTTTTCCCGTGAAACGGAGACATTGACGAAGAGAATGCAATCTGAAAGTGCAACACGAAACCTCGAATATGCGTGCGCTGCGTATGTGGTCGAGAATGACTGGTACACCTCGCGCATATTATTTGAGCACTTATTATTTCAGCAACCAGCGACCTGGTATTAAGCGAAATTAAGAGAAACTGTTTCCAACGGCGAATCCTAGAGTACAATTAAGCAACGAGTCGGTCGCGGGCGCGGCGGCCGGTTCGGCCGCGGAATGCGGCCGCCGCGTGGTAGAATGTGGACGAGAAATGAAAAAGATGACGCGAACACGCGAGATTTGGGGAATCGAAGAGTGGCAACCATTCAACGTCCGTCGGAATCCGCGCCGCTCGCGGATCAGAAAGAAAGCGAGAATTCCATGAGCGTGGCGCGGTTCGAGGAAGCGTCGATGCCTCGCCGAGACGCCGGGGATATATTCGTGTCCCCGAAGACCCGGCACGGGAATTAGCTTCGATCGTGGAAATAAAATCGGAAATTAATTCCCGGTTTTCGCTGGCTAATTGCCACCGTAAACGTCGTCGGCCGCGGCCGCGGCCGCGGGCAACCGGGTAGCGGCGCAGCGTCGGAAATTTTCCGCGAGATTAACATTTCTCGCGGTTCGTGACCGACGATAGTAATCGTAGGCCACGGTGGTGTTCTCGCGCGCGCGCGGCTGCCACGCAACGCTCGGCGTTTGCAGAGGAGGATTTCGAGGCCGTGAGTCCCGTGGAATCCCCTGCGCGCTCGACGCCGAAGAGTTCAGAGTTCTCGGGCAGCGAAATACCTAGTCATTACGGCGCATGAATCGTCTCCGGCCGAGTGTCGAGGCCGGTGGTAGCGGGCTGAAACGAGGCGGAGGGCGGCTGGAACGAATTAGGGAGAGCGGAGAGACCGGACTAGAATGAAATAGTGGAATTTATTGTGCTCTGGGACACAGGCGTTGGCCCCCCGACCGCAACAAATGGTGCACAGTAAGAATTATAATTGATAGGGATTATTTGAGAGGGGGACCACGCTGTGTAAGCACCGCCAGAAGACACGCTGGAGGGGTGGGACGGGTCCAGCCTGGCACAAAAGTTGTTCCACTTTACAACTGATCGCGGGATAATGAATTTATGGCGCGGTACTCCTCTGATTCGTTTCTTCCTGCTGACCGGCGAGCCCGAGGATCGCGCGCGCGCGCGCGCGAGAGACTCCCGTCGACGCTTTCAACGCGACGCGCGTTCTTTAATTTCGCATCATGGCAATCCGGTATTTAGAACATCGAGCGACTCGTTGGTGTTCGCGTTTCATGGATCTTGGGATAGGACTGATCGCGTAAGCATAATAACCATAATCTCGAATAATTTAGGGTAGCGAAGCAGGTCATTGTGTGGCGATGACCAACTGCTATGTCTTGCTATGTTTGTTTTCCGACGTGATTAACTTTGTATTTATTGAATAAGACATATTCAATTTTTTGTTCAGAAGTAAACCGCATTAGAGAATATATTTAACGAGTAAGAGTAATATCTTGTTTACTCTTTAATAAAAAATATAATCTAACCCTTTGAAGTCGACTCTGAGCCACCGCTAAAAATAGTCGCATCACGTTTCAAAATAATTGCAATATTATCGAATTCGTTTACATTTAAGAAACTGTTAAAAGCGTAACCGTCGCGCGAGTCACAAAATTCAATTTCATGCATACAAAGTTATATAAAACGGAAATAATATAGATCGAAAGAACGATTTTGGATTTCGAGTTGAAATGGTTGCAACTGCAAAGGGTTGACGTATCTTGTTCGATAAATATGAATTTAATCATGCCCGAAAACAAACCAAAACCACTACCCGACTTTGGACTTCGTCTCTCGAACGTTCCCCGGTTTCTGATCGTTGTTTCGTTGAAACGTAAAGTTACAAAACGAAGCACGATCTCCTCATTCGAAGCGCAGAGCGAAAGAAAAAAGGTCGAAGCATTGTGCTAGAAGCTTTCCATCGATCATTTCCGAGGAACGTGCGAGTACATACAGTAATGTCTCCCTAACTGACGCTTAGATTGTGCAGAAAAATGGACAATTTGGGAACAGGAGATACGATTATTCCGACTTTGTATTATGTTTTTATAATCGTACGATCGGTAACTATAAAAACGAGTCACAAGGCTCGAATTCACAAGGCTCCTCTTCCCAGATTATCCACTAAAATGGATAATTTGGGAAGAGCAGATACGATTATTCGAGCCTTGCGGCTCATTTTTATAATTGTGGACAATTTATAACTATAAAAATAAACCAGAAGGCTCGAATAATCGCATCTCTTCTTCCTAAATCGTCCATTTTTATGGACAATCTGAGCGTCAATTAGAGAGACATTATTGTATACTCGTCGCCCACAGCCAACTGATCAATAAAAAAAGAAAAGAAGAACTCGAATTTCTGCGCTAAACTGAGCTAAACTAAAAGCGCCTAACTGACGCTCAGATTGTGCACAAAAGTGGACACTTTGGGAAGAGGAGATACGATTATTCGTGCTTTGCAGCTCGTTTTTATAGTTGTTGGCAATTGATAACCATAACAAAAGAGCCACAAGGCTCGAAGAATCATATCCCCCCTTCTCAAATTGTCCATTTCTGTGGTCAATCTGGGCGTCAATTAGGGAGACATTACTATACATATATCGAAACGTGTATATCGGCAACGTTGATCGCGAAAGATCGGTTAAAAGTAACTCACAGTTGTTGCGCGACGTCGCGGAGGACGACGAGGTGTCAGCTTCGTTGCCGCAGCAGACTTTGAACACGACTTTCATGTTGTTGCTGGAGCACCTTCCGCCGATGCGCTTGTGAAGGTCCTCCTTGGTCGAGGTGCTGATGAAGTAGTAATCGTGTCCCGGCAGGAACTCCAGGCCTCCGGGTTGCGGTGTGAACGGCCTGAAGGTGATCGTGAAGTACATCGTCTTGAACGGCTTGTCGCAGACTGCTATCACCCGCGGATTCGGATTCGTTATCCGACATGTTTCGTACTCCTCCTTGGACACCTACGGAAACGCGGCGGAGGCGTTGTAAGACTTCTGAGGCGAATCAATTGGCGACGCTTCCGGTTCGCCGCGAAAACCGGCCGTGTCCGGCCGTGGTTCTTTGTTTTACGACCCGGCGAACGCGGCGTTCGCGGAGCCGGGCCCCGCGCGGTCCCCACAAAAGGACATTAATCGTTGATTGACTACTGTGAAAGAAGTTCCGCCGGGCGGTTCGCGCGCGGGCCCGAAGCAGGCTGGTTTCTGTTGCTCGGCTAGGTCCCGCCTCGTTAAGACACGGTCAACGGGAGAAATAATGTCTATTGTGGGGCCCGATCGCCGCGCTATCGAGAAAATGCGAGCGGGACGACGAGCGTTCGAGCGGTGATTAGATCTCGGCGATGATTCGCAAGTTCGTGGTTACGTCGTCAGTGAACCTCGGAACCGGCGTTCGCAGGAGAATAAGTCAGATACGACCTCGAGGGAGTGGGGATAGCCGACGCATGCGCCGGGAATCCCGCGCAGCGTCTCGGCGCGTCTATCGAGCGAGGATAATTCGTTTCATTGCGAAAAATGCAACGCCGCGCCGCTGCGGACTCCCGGCGCATGCGTCACCTATCCCCACGCCCTCGAAGTCAGATCTGACTTAATCTCCTGCGAACGGCGCGCGGCAACGAAACGACAGCATCCGCGAAGGGGAACTTTCCACGATGCCGGCAACAATTTGATTCACGGGATGTTTTTCTCGGGATTACCGGGCCACCGAGAGGCCTCTATTATTTCAGGAATAGCGGCCGCGACGGTCCGCTGTGAATATTTTCGAGAGGAGGGTGGAAAGCAGCAGCCCCTCCCGGTGGCAGAGCTGTGTCAAAAGTCGGCTGTACGAGGCGGAAGTCGTTCTTGGGGGTCCGGCGCGAGCGAGTTAACGAACGAGTTTCGAGTAGCAACAGCTGTCTAAACATCCCAGGAACGCCCTTTGACAATTTTTTCGGTCGGTGTAATGGGCCGGCGTTACTGCAACACGATTTATGTGTATCTGCCGATCCCGGGGCCATGCGGAGGGAACACAGCTCTCCGCGGGGCGAACATTTACCGGAAGCGGGGCCTGAATTATTCGCGGTCGAACGCTTCGTGTACTCACGTTGTAGATGATATACTTCTCCGCGTCGTCGTCATACGTCCCCGGCTGGTACACGGGACATATTATGTTCACTTGGTCGTACTCGAACGCCGCGTTGTTCTTGTTCACGTCTATTATGTGATCCGTATTGTCTATTCGAAATCTGAAACAGAAAGAGGAGGGAGGATCCGTCAGCAAACGATGGTTCACGATTCGATTCGGTTCGGTTTCTTCGAGGCAAATACAAAGTACAATATTAGCACAGCCGGTCGAACTTTTCGGAACAAGCTCGCGTACACCGACCGACGAGAACGTCCCGACGCGCACACACACACACACAGAGAAACACGCGCACGCATACGTGCGCGCGCGCGGCTGGAACGAAATTGCAAGCGGCTAATATATTTTTCCCGACGAGGAAGAATAAAAAAGAGAAAAAGAAAAAAGAAAGCCGGTCGTTGTACACGGCCGAGCCTTTGAAAAATGAATTCCGGGATATCCGCGCGATGAGTACGAACATTAACGACTACGTTCCGTTCGCCGCGGGATGTCGACGGGGGGGAAAGCACAATAGGTCCGGCCGTTTCCGCGTATCGGTCCGCTTGGAAACGAGGGTATCCATGAAACATTCGCGAAATTCCGACGCCCCCGGAGGTTCCTCGCAGGGAGTACAAGGTTCCCTCCGGGCCCGTCGGTAGCCAGGTCAGGAAAGGGAGAAAAAAGGAGAGGACGCGCGGACTCGCCCTCGTAGGCACCCAATGTCAGATAGGCAGGCGCCCATGGTGTCGGGACCCCACGTAAGTGTACATACGGCTTCTGCGCGTATGTACACACATGTACGCACACAGGTGTGCTTGTATATTCCGGCTCCGGCTGTATTATGTAGCGGAGGAGCTTGCTGGATACTTGCCGAGGATGGAACGAAAGGTCGGCGAATATGTAGAAAGGAAGGTAAAGAAGAAGAAGAAGAAGAAGAAGAACCAGCAGAAGAAGAAGTAGAAGAAGAAGAAGAAGAAGAAGAAGAAGAGGAGGAGGAGGAGGTGGAGGAAGGTGGAGGACGGTTCCTATATAACCGGTTCTTTCCAACGGCGCTCACATACGGCGATACACGTCCGTTCCTCCACGTTGCACCGAGCACAGTAACGTCTCCTGCTGTTCACACCGCCCTATTTCGGGTCTACGAATCGGCGGAGCGACTATTTTCTTGGTTCTCGCGGTCGCTCCACTTGTTTCCGACCCCATATTTATTTTCCTTTCGCCTCTCGGCGGCCACGTACCGCCCGTACATGCCCGCCGAGTATATTTGTTCTGGGTTACATAAATTAGATACGGCCGCGCGATGATGACCCGGCGTCCACCGGAATGTTGAGGCACCGTTGAAATACGGTTTCCCTGTTTTCTTAACGCTCGAACCGACTCGCCAGCACCGCCGACACCGCCGCGCCGGTCCCCGGTTTCTTTTTCGCGACGCTTAATTTAATTCCAGCGCGAACGCCACGGCTCGCCGCGGGAACGATCCCGCGGCCGCGGCGTTATCGTGTCAATGTTGGGACACGCTATCGATGATAAATTTTTCGCGTGCTTATCGGTAGTCGGCTATGCAAATTCGTTGGCGCGGCCGGGAATCCAACGCCTACCGGGGCCGAATAACTTCGCGCGACGTCGTTTCTTCGTTTATGAAATTCTTCTCTTCCCGCCTGTTTCGCATTTCTCGAAGGTGAAGGACGATCGTAATTGGACCGCGGACGATCCCGCGATGCGAACATTCTTCCCGTGGATTCGCATCGATCGCGAGCCGACGAGATATCCTCGTACGGCGGTTTCGAGAATTCGACCGCGGCTTTCGGTGTTCGTTCGCGTCGAATCCGTGTTCCGAACGAGAGCTGAATTTTACCGGGATCGTTTAACTCTCGAACGGTTTTTAAAAGTGCCGTTTGATAGGGTCAATTTTGACTTTCTTTGTCCCAGTTTTCATTCATAAAATTATATACTTGGATTTCGCGGGTATTTTCGGAGTCGATTTCTTGCTCGTTGTTCGATTTATTAATGTTTTATGTCTTTGCACTTCATCTCGTCGTATTGCATGTATTGTATTCTTAACGCTCGATTTTTCATCCATTTATGCTGAAATTGACTAGACAAAATATTATTGAAATTATCGAAAAATTATTGTTCGCGTTTAAGTCGTGGTTCTTATTATCGATTAAGAAAATTCTGATTATGCACAAAGATCCGCAGTCTACTCAGGAGAGAACCTGATAGGAACAACACGAGGAACGTGTTAGAGAAAACTGAGCCGCGAAAAGTGCACATTATCGTGATTTATCAGTGGATATCAGTGGATTGCCTATTTATAGACGAACTGGGTGAGTGAAATACGAAGCCACGAAGACATCGGAAGAATTTCAGAATCTTATTACACAGTTATTAACCCTTAGGGGACCAGAACTATTTATTTCCAGTTTACACACTGCCAAGTCCAGACTGTTTTTCTCAGACGAAGAGAAATTTTTTACTGGAAATTTTTCTATCAAATATAGAGAAGAGATATTCATGTTTTAAATAAAACTTCGTCGATATATTTCCATCGAAACAATCGTGCCTATTCTTCCAATGTTTCCTGCCAGATTTTACGGTTTTATCGATTTCTGCCGCGTGTACGGCGGCATTGGACCGTTAAGGGTTAATTCATCGAGGCTGTTAAAACAAGAAATACATGCACCTATGTACAATTCTAGATCCCGTACACTCGACGCGTACACGCTTTTCGCTTCGCATAAAAATCAGCGATCCGTTTATCCGTGATTTCGACGTCTGTACAATAATACATATATATTGCAGCGGTACGAAATGATATTCGCCGTCGCCAACGACTCACTCGGGTGCATAAACATCGTTCTAGTTAGAAAGCGCGCGATTAAATCCATCGAGCGCGCCGCGGAGACGGCAACGACGTGCAATTTCGAGTAATGAATAGCATCGCGTAGCAATATCGCGCGATATACACCAAAGAGGCACGGTTTGCTAAGGACTATGTGTTAGTATCCGCGGCGGAGGACCTAGTAGATTTAGTTCTTAAGCCGTGTTATCTTAATGCCAGGATCCATATTTAGGGTCTAAATCACTGGTATCTTCGTAAATCACTGGTATCCGGCGAGGCGGCTAGGCGGAGGCTCCCCCCCCCCCCCCCGGAGAGTTCCGAAGTTTCGCGAGCACACGGAGCCGCGTAAGAAAACACGGCGCCGCGGTCCCCGGGGACCGTAAAGACGGTCCCCGGCGCGTAATTTCACTTTGCGTAATTCGAGTTCGCGTGCGAGAGCGAGCCACGTTACTTTCGGATTACGGGCGGGTCTGTGGTGTTTGTGCGCGTCGTTGCCGGAGCCCCGTAAAGCTCCTCTCTCTCTCTCTCTCTCTCTCTCTCTTTCTCTCTCTCTCTCTCTCTCTCGCCGTGGCGGTAAAACGCGGGCGTCGAAAACGCGTCCCGACGTTTCGGAGCATTAACGGACAATCTCGTAAGTGGGCGTGTAAGGGCTCGAAAATTGGAAGGTAGGCCGGGCCTCGACCAAATTAACGTTTGGCGATAATATCCGCTCTCTCTCGGTGCCCCCATGTCGGTCGGTCGGTCGGTCGGCTCCGGTGTGCCCACCCTAAGCTCGCAGGCCAACGCCAACAACCTCGGAACCCGGGTCCGTGAAGACCGAGAGACGGAGGAGAGAAGGCACGCGCACACAACGACGAGGGCCGGCCACTCGCTCGCTTGCTCGGCCCGACTCGGCCCGGCACGTATTCCGTTCCCCCGTTCGGAGCTGTGTGTAAGTCCCGCGTGGGTGTATAGGACATTTCAGTCGCAGCCCGGCCATTCACGAATTTATTAGACACCGTATACGTACGATCGTGGCCCGAATTACTCGCGATAAAAGCACGGCATGGCTCCTTTTGGTACTTCGGGACGGGCAGCTCCGTTTCCACGGAGGTTGATGTACCGTGGCCGTCTTGTTCCCCGGTCGTCGACGCGTTAATGGCGGCGATGCGCGGTGAATTGTGATGTATAAATTTGCCGGGGATTCCGTTTTGAAGGAAACCTGCTCCGGGAGGCAGTCCCTTTCTCCTCTCGATCTCTTGTTCGGCCAACGGAATGAAATACGAAAATTATGGAGAAACCGGGCCTCGGACGCGACGCTTTCAGAATGTGTTTTTTCACCTCTTTCTCTCTCTCTCTCTCTCTCTCTCTCTCTCTATTTCTCTCTTCCGCTCTCTCGGTATTAGGATCTCGTTAAAGAGAAAAAACAAATTGCGACACGCGCGCACCGATCGCGCGACTTCCAACAAGGTATACCCCCGATTACGCTTAACACGCGTCGGTCGCCTCCTCGCTCGTCTATTTGTTATTTTAATCCCGGCTCGAATTATGCCCGATGAAAGCCTGTTATTGCATGTTACGGTACTTAGAACCGGCGATCCTTTTAACTCGAGGACGAAGAGCGAGCGGTTTTGGTACTCCTGCTGGCAGAGGCACATAAAGGCTGTCTTGTATTACGATCGTCGACGTGTTATTGGTAGCCTCGATGTGTGATTTAAAGGTTTCCCCGGCGGGAACGGTGTCATTTGCATATACCTACGTATTCGTAGGATCGACGAGGACCCTCGTATTAATGCGATACGTTGCCTTGGTTCTTAACAGTTCTTTTCTGGCCTTAGGTAAATACCCCGCATGAATATGTATGGCCGAGTGTCTTCGGTGACCCTTTCGAACCTGAAACCTGCGCGCGTCTCTGAATATCGGGGGCTCGCGTGGACAACGTTTTCGTCCACCTGATACACACGATAATGTTGCACCGACTAATGTTCGCCCGGTGTTATTCGGTTGTTGCACACACATACACACACACATACATACAGGTTTGCGGATCCGCTGATCGCTGTATTTCACTGGGTTCTCATTGCTAGACGATCCACAAATGGCGCGTCGAACTCGTTAAAAGTATGTTAATTAATAATAAACTGGTACGTAATGTTAACAACTTGTCGCACTTTGACGAGTCTGACACGTGACGGCGATTTCTAGCAACAGCCGGTTAAGTGTGAACGCTATTCCGTTCCTTTTAGTCTGAATAAAATTTAGATTTCTTGTCGTCGGTGTTTAAATCGCATTTAAGTGAATGC